ATTGATGCAGGTGGGTTGCCCAGGAGGTGTGGTCAGTTAATATTTGTTGGAATGAATGACCCCACTAGACAGACACCACGCTTTAGACTTTCAACGGCAGCCTTCTACACCCCGAATATAATCCAGACCTCCTAAAACAGACACTGAAACTTGTGCCCTGTGGCCATGACTTGCCTTTCAAGCTTTGGAGCCAGCCCTGCTTCCTTGGCCTCTCATTTCCGTATCCATGGTGTGTTTGCTCATAGCTTGGTACATGTTCATCTCTCCTTGGATGCTCTGCCCTCTTATGTGGCTTGGTTAGCTTCTACTTCCCCTCATACCCCAGCTTGGTGGGTCACCTCCTCAGGGAAGCCTCCCATGATTTCCCTACCTTGCACGATCTGGACCATTCCTGTCTCCACACTCCCATCGCATTTCACTCTTTCCTTTGCCCACCCTGTTCCCAGCTTTCCTGGCCTCCCTTCCGTTTCTCAAGCATGCCAAGCTCTCTCCCACCTCACACCTTGCACATCCTGTTACCCTCTGCCTGGAACATGCGTTCCCCTCCTCCTCACTTCTTCAATGTTGGCTCCAACATCATCTTCTCTGAGAGGCCCTTCCTCCTGCCCCAATCACATGTAGTCATCCTCCCCCTAGTAACTTTCATCTTTATCTTCTTCATGGTATTTATCACGATTTGAATCTTGTTTATGCCATGCTTTCTAGTTTTATGGACAGAACATGGGCCTTAGACATTCACCACTGCCCCCAAAGAAGATGGTTTTCATGCTGTTTGTTTAATACAGCAGTTTCAAATGCGGGAGACTTTGACATTTGCCAGTGTCTGGGGACATTTTGGTTGTCACCACCTGGAGGAGGAGGGGCGGCCACTGGCACCTGGTGGGTTGAGGCTGGAGATGCTGCTAAATCGTATCTAATGCACAGGATGCCCCTCCCCCAACAAAGAATTATCTGGCTCAAAATACCAGTACTGCTGAAGTTGATAAACTCTTGTCTGATACCATCAATTAGAGGACAGAGTGAGACAAGGAAGAATGAATAAGTTTTTCCCAACTGCTGAATAATTTAGGAAATATGATACAAGTGAACACTACATATAAAATATAATTGTGAAAAGAATTCAACTCTTATTTGCTGGATGTGATAGTGGCAATCTCTTATAACCAACTAGTTGCTTTGCATTTAAGTAATCATTGGTAAATCTTTCAAGACTTAATTTTAATAAGTGAAAAATGAGAAATAATATTTACAAACACACCTTAAATTTCTTCAGGAAATGTTCATGGTTATACATTTACTTATTACATCATTACTACTGGAAAAAATTGTTCTGACCTTTATTATAGTAAATTTGTTAGTCAGTTCTAAGTTTTGTGTAGAGTGATGTTTAAAAGAATCACATGGTAGGTAATTTTCTAGGCTTCAAAGATATGAGCATTGGCTAATTTGGCCTGACCCATAGTAGTTGCTTAATAAATACTTGTAAACTGGGCTGACATCTTTCCCTTTTTAAGTGGGAATCCTAAGAGCAAATGAAACATCTTTTAAAGGTTACTTTTCTATGGAAAATGCTTGGAGCTGTTCCCCAAGGCAGTTGTTAATAATTGTTGGCCCTGAAGGAGCTTGAATTTCGCAAGAGACACTTTAACCATCAATCTTCTTATACAATAATACTCACTCATATGAAGTTATTATCGAGTAACTGTGGACCATGGTAAATGCTAGCACATTTTGATGCATCGATTATGTGAGTCAGAGATTACTTAAAAATATTCTAGAGGCCCTTAGTGTCTTGTCTGGGGGGTGATAAGAAAGATGGGGCCAGCATCTTTTTAGATCTAAAGACGGCATGGATTACTTATGTTTTGGCAATGCCTTGGCCCACCACAAATACTCTTCAGGAATGGTTTTCATATTGTCCCCGATGCGGAAGAACCTTATTTTTTGTAGTGAAATGCTATGAGCGGTTCTCAAGTTATAAAACAAATGGAAATGGAGTTGATTTCGCTAAAGGGGGATGATGGTGGTGAAGCCCCCAAAACCCGATGCATCTTTCTGCCGGCTCACACCTCCACCACTGAGACAGCACAGGTTTTCCATGGAGCGATCACTAGCTAGCTTGGTGGCCTAGAGAATCATTCTTATCTGTCTAAGAATTGGTACAGTAATAGCATCCAATTCAGAAAGCCATTTAGGGGATTAAATTAGAAAATGTATATTAAACTTAGCACAAATTCTAGTATATAGTAAACACATAGTGAAGGTTCCTTTTTATTAATAGAATGATGGACCTTGACTGTCCATCAACAGATGATCTCAAGCAACCAGATCCATAATAAAGGTATAAATTGTAGGTGGAAATCAATTAGGAAGAGCTGATGAAGCCAAGAAGACATCCTTGGCCTTCTACTTGACTCTGAGAGCCATCCGGAATACTATAGTTGGGAGCCGAGTCAGTCAAGCATCTGTGTGTGCTGATTTCCACAGGCATTGGAGCAAAGAGAGCAAAGTAACTCCTCTGTTAATGAGAAAACTGTACAAATCAGATGATCACATTTCATGGCCATGCCCGTTAACTAATTTATTATTATACAGTCAGAATTAAAATACTGAATTTAAATGTACCCTGCAAGTTGCTTGTAGATATTTAAAAAATCCACATTTACGTAAGATTGAAAGGACTTTTAAAAAAGCATTATGAAAGACATACATGGAGAGGAAAATTAAGAATAAGCTGGATAGCTTCATTGCCAATGGTTGGGAGGTAGGAGTGATTTGAGCAATGATTGAACTTAAAGAGATCATGGAAGAATGGACAGACAGCTCTAATTTTCTAAGAGAAATCGGTAAATGTGGTAGAATGCTCATGAAAAAATTAGGACAAGCTGATAACAAAATTCACTTTTGTCACACAAGTCTGCAGAAGGACCCCTGCCAATACAATGTAATATTTTAGGAACAACAGAAGAGAACCTTACCAGTGAGGAAAGGAAGTATAACACTTTTCTCTAGGATTCCACAGTAATGTAATAATTCTAAAATTTTTAAGAAATGGGAAATTTATATATTTAATATTAAACTCTAGCAATTAGCTACAGACTGTTTTTAACTACTTGTGTTATTTTCTTTTTCTATTTTTCCTGACTGAGGTGATTGAGTTTTTGTTTATTTATTTTGGTTTGTATTTTTGTCCCAGCTTGTCAAAACAGCATACACAGGTAAATGGAAAAAGTTAAGGCTCTCCCCTCCTGACTCTGCAATCCTACACCTTATAATGTAACCATTATTAACAGTTTGGATATACTTCTTTTCATTTAAAACAGAGGAACCTGTACTCTGTAATTATTTTGTAATTTTGTTTGTCCCTTACTGCATATTGGACGTCACTCTAGGTCAGTGGTTCTCAACTGAGAGTTGAGACATTTTCGTTGTCATGACTGATAGAGGAAGGTTACTGTCAGCATCTATTGGGTAGAGACTGGGGTTGCTGCACCTACAATGCCCAGGACAAGCCCCCGCCACAGAAATTAGCTGGTGCAAAACGTCCATAAAGCTGAGATTGAGAAACCCTGTTCTAGGTCAATGGACATAAATCTTATTCATTATTTTTAAAAGCTTCATAATACTTTGTAGTATGGGTAGACCATAATTTATTCAACTGGTTTTCTTTGATAATAGCTTCTTATTTAGTGGCATTTATATATTTAATATTAAGAACCCAAATGCTCCAGTTTAGTTATTTACAATTCATTCTGCTTCTTTAAAGAGCAAAAATAAGCCTTATCAGAGGGACTCTAAAGAGGGACAGTTAAGAATTCATAGGCTTGTGTATAAAATTAGATTCTGGGTCACTGTGAGTCAAGAGAATTTGGTTTCAGTAAAATCACAGACTCACTCGAAATGACATGTCTTAAAGTAAGTCATTTGAAAAGCATGTCTTCATTTTTTGATTCTTTGGAATTAAAAAAAGGAAGAAAGAAGGAAGCAGCACTAACAACTCCAAAGCTTTCTTGTATGACTACCAAGACCAGAGAGGGCTCCTTCGAAGTAACCGGGATGACTTTCAGAGAAAGCTATTTCTGATGATATCTACCTTCTCTGTACAGACATAACTTCTAAAAATCCATTAGTACCTTAAATCATGGTGGACTGAACAAAAGAAAACAAAGTAGGTTTAAATGAAAAAAGTGATATCCAATCTAAAAGACTTTGAATGACTTCCAGATGCCATTGACAATGTAATTGGGAATCAGCACGACCCTCTGGTTAACCACAGGGGACTTGACGGAAAGGGTGCCCTACGGCAAACAGATGTTTGCTCTGTGAAACCAAAGCTCTGTGTTTCTCTGGCCCATCCTCTCTGCATGTCCTGTGCAGTCCTAGAAGGATAAAATAAAGAACTGATTTTCCTTCTCTTGTAGAGCTGGATAAAGGGAAATGGAACCAGAGCTGTGTGTGAGAAGGGTGGCAAACCAGTGGGAGAGCTAAAAGGGGTGGGCCTATGCTTCCGCCTTTTGCCTGCCAGCAGTTTTCTCAGTAACAAGCAAGAGTTGGAAGTGTATCTTTCCTTTTGCTATTAGTCGTTCCTTCCTTCCTTCCTTCCTTCCTTCCTTCCTTCCTTCTTCCTTCTTCCTTCCTTCTTCCTTCCTTCTTCCTCCTCCCTCCTCCCTCTCCCTCCTCCTTCTCCTCTCCCTTTTCTTCTTCTTCCTTCCTTCCTTCCTTCCTTCCTTCCTTCCTTCCTTCATCCATCCATCCTGTCATTAATGACAGCTCTATGGTGAAATAGTATGGACTGTATGTTTGGGTTTTGTGTTTCTGACCATTCAGCTTTTGCCATGAATCCTTATGTTTAATAAATTTAATAAACACCATCATCCTGCACTAGGTCAGACCTATCAAAATTGCAACAGGTCAAGCCTAATTAAGGAGCTATGAACATCATGAGTTTATTTATAGTTGGGAAAATTGAAACCCTCCCCCCTTCACTTCTGCCTTTTTAGGATCAGAGCCACACACAAGTTTCACAGTACCGGCAGGACCCCTCCCTGATCATGAGGTCTATCGTTCACATGACCGACGCCGCTCGCTCTGGGATCATGCCGCCTGCCCAGCTCACCACCATCAACCAGTCTCAGCTCAGTGCCCAGCTGGGGTTGAACCTGGGAGGTGCCAGTATGCCTCACACCTCGCCTTCACCTCCAGCAAGCAAATCGGCCACTCCCTCACCTTCCAGCTCCATCAACGAAGAGGATGCCGATGAAGCCAACCGAGTAAGTCAGAACGGCCTTAGTGTGTGACCCACTGGAGAGTATGGGCTCGCCCGTGCTCATGTCTTTGGATTTCAGTCATGGTGTTACCTTCTTTGTCTTTATGGATTTGGAGTAGTATTTAAATTCATGATGGTTTAAGTTTTTTCTTCTACTCTTTCACTTATATATTTTCTGTAGAAAGTGTATTGAACCAGAAATTGGAAGACCTGGCTTCCCCTACTGGTTCCAAGACCTGGGGCAAGTCGTTTAACTCTTTGAATGCCTAATTTTTCTAATCTACGAAAGAAAGGCTCACACTCCCTATCTAGAAATTTCCGAAATTCCCCTTTCCAGAAATTCTAAAGTGTTTTGGTTCTAAGTTAATGCCCACGTGGGCAAGCGTCTTCCAGTGTTTTGGCCGACCTGCCGCCACGTTCCACAGCTTTGCACCTTCAGTCATGTTTGTCGTGGAGTAAATTCTCATCGTTTTGTCAGGGAAAAATGTATAATTTGAAATATGCATAGTTTGAAATAAAAACCAAGTTCCAGGTATGACTTTTCTGAACACTTAGAATAAATAATGAGAAAGAATACTGTACTAGTACACAATTACTCATCACGCATTCGTTAAGTGTGTGTTGTACACCTGCTCTGTGCTTGGCGTTTGACTTGGTTCTCGTGATATAAAGATTTATGAGAGAACTACTGCTCCTGGGACTCCCCACGGGGGTGAATAGCAAAGTTTGGAACTAGCTCCAGATGTGATTAGTGATGTAACTGAGGCATCTGCTGTGCTGAGACCATAATCGATGCTGCTCGAGAGAGTGACTTGAGGAAGACTCTATTGAGAAGGTGATATTTGAATTAGGGCTGAGAGGATACCTAACAGTATCCTGAGGCAGGATGCATGAGGCAGAAGAGAGAGGCTGGCATTTTGGTAGGAGAAACGGTGAGGAGAAATGTCAGTTTTTGGGTATCCTGAAGTTTGACATGGGGGAGGACATAAATAGAAGTCAAAGAAAGAAATGGCTTAAATGTGGTGGCCCTTCTTCTGTTGGTGGTTGAGAGCTGATTAATTATTTGCGCAGAGGATTGGCATAATTAATTTATGCTTTAGAAAGATAACTTTGGCTATATATAGAATGCCTTACAAAGAGAAGGACCAAAGAAAAGGAAGTTAATTAGAAGACCCTTTCATTATGTTTCCTTTCATCAAAGGGAACAGGTGGACAGGAGGTACCAGATTAGTGAGACGTTTAGGAGGGAGAATCACAAAGATTTGGTGATCTACTGAAATTTGAAGAAGTAAGAGATGAATTGGGTTTTAGTTTGAGAGCCAGATGGATACTAACAAATGAAAGAATCAACCCAGAAAGAGAGAAGTGGTTTTTTTCTCTCCCCACAGGGAAGATGAGAGTTCGGCATGTTATTGGTTCAATTTGTGGTCTGGAAGGCAGTTCATTGAGTCTAGAAGTGAGTTCATTGGTGCCGGAACTGCAGATTGGGGGACCATTGGCACGTAGATGTGAAGACATGGAAGGGATCGGTATTTCTTAGAGAGTATAAGGAGCAAGTCAAGGACAGAACTCTGAGCATCATTTATTTTTAAGTCACAAATGGAAGAAGAGGAGCTAGAGAAGATTGAGAGTGATGAGAAGAGGAGGAGGGAGGTTGGAGTGATGTTGCCAAAGTCAAAGGGATTTCAGGGTGGAGGTTTGGTCTGTAGCACCCACTGGCACAGAGATAGTAAATGCACTAACAGTCTCTCCCACTCATAGGACTTCAGTGCAGAAAAGTGAGAAATATGGTTAAGGGAACTTGAAGGATATGAACAAGATGGGGCTGGTTTTCAGCTAGCCAGGACAACTCAATGGGTTCCTTTCTCCCCATGCACATACCCACTTCTCTTCATACTTGCCTCTGTACCAAACCGAAATTGTCACCTCTAAAGAGAACCTTTTGCGTGACTCCCAATTTGTTCCATGTTAAGCAAGGGGCTAGGTGTTGTATAAAGACAAAAAATCCTATTTGTTATATTTTAATCACCTTCACTGAAAAAGGAAGATTAAAATTATCGTTGATTGTGTCCCTTTTGGGTAAAACTTTTTCTCCAGCTTTCTGTCCCAACCCCATTAAGTCAATGACACAAAAGTTTCTTTGTGAGAATTAATTCTGAGCTTTGATGTAAACTGTGGGACTTTTCCTTTCTGGTTTATTCTTAAAGAGTAATGATGATTAGGGCAAGTCATGGTCACCCAAGAAAGGCATCAGTGGTTGTCAATGTCGGAATATTGTTTTACAGAAGATTGAGATGAGAGGTTGAACTCCTCTTATTTCCAGACAAACCTGCTGGGGAAATGACTTCCATCTTGCCCTTGCTCAGGGTATTGTTGGCACTAACAGTGCCAAAGTTTCTTCCAGGAAAAGAATATAGTTGTGTGGCTCAGTTAGAAAACTCTGTGTCTGTGTGTGTGTGTGTGTGTGTGTGTGTACACATACAGATATATTTTTCTTGTAGCTGAAGTCATGTTTCTCATTGGCTCCAGTTGAAGCTCTAACTGAAAGGCATCTGACTCTTTTGCAAGTTCAGATTCATTAAGTAGAATTAAACAAGTCTCACTAATTCTGAAAATTTCAAAAAAAGACTATGGGCTCTAGAGAGTTATTGAATTAATTGTGTGAGTTATTAATACGAAAGATGGTATTTTGGAGGAGAGGGGAGACATGACTTTTATCACCATCTGAAGCACATAAACTGCTTGTATAAAGTGTGGATGTCGATATCATTCAAACAGCGCAAACAATAGGCCTACCTAAAAGTAGGCCAGTGGTTTCTTAACACTTTAGGGTTCAGAACTCTCAAAGAAAAGTTATTTAACCAGTTTTCTCCCTGATAATGTCAGTAATTGGATTAAGTTCCAAATGACTCTCATTCAGAAAGTAATAATACTCTGGGAAAATTTGAATTAGGATTCAAGGCCATTAAAAGCCAATCTGTTAGTAACTTTGAGTCTATCTCTGTTGATCTTGCCCAAGGCTGGCTTTTAAAACAAATTTTGTTAAACACTTCAGGATTCTTGATGAAGTTAACTACAAAATCATCTTCGTTATAGTCATACCGTAATCTAGGGGAGGCAAACTGATAAATCATTTCCCCTGCTTCTGTGATAAGTATATTAAATGATCAGTGAAATTAGATGATGGTCACAGGTAAATATGGAACCTAGTAACATATGAATTGGGAAGCAATACCCATATCATTTCTATGGCTGGTTCCAACCTCACGGAGTTCATGTTGTGAATATGTGTGAGTATTTATGGCAGTACTCTTGTGGGCAGGGTTACTTTCCATATGTAATAAATGCCTTCTTTTTAATCTCCTGAGTGATTTTAAGTATCGGTTCTTACCCTGTTTTTATAGGTTTTTAATTTTATGGAGAGTATCAATTTCCTTTCTATCTCTAAAGTAGTTTTGACATTTTTATATTTCTTGTTATCCTATTCTTTAGAAAGTTGTTATTTTAGAAAATAAAGATGACCTTTTCCTTGTTGTACAAGTATAGAGATTGTACTTAATTTCCATTTGAATTTCCAGAGACCCATTAGCAAAGTAACATTCTGATAAAAAAAAATCAGTCTCAAAAAATCAATTCAGACACATCACACATATGGCATGTGACTAGGCAAGGGACTTCATTTAAAATATCTGAATATGATCAATATCCCGAATATTATTTAGGTTTAACTTTGAATACCTCTGAAAATGTAAAATATTTTGTTTATGTGCACATGTGTAGCACAGCATATATATATATATAGCATCTCCTGGTGCAGAGTGTTCTGGTTTTCATTAGTCATAATTGCTATTTAGAGCATATGTTATGAATGTATTGAAGATACTTCTGGGTCTCATTAATCAATGTTCTAAATGCTAATCTCTGCTGTCCAGTTAACTCTAAGTAAGTTTACCCCTCCCCCGCTTTTGGTGGTGATTCATCTGTTGATGATGTTTAACAAAACCTTAAAAGAACAATTACGGATCTGAGTCAGTCTTGCTGCTTTCTCTGCAAGTACATTCCAGGCGGTGAATTTTCTCCCTGCTTTGCAGGCCATCGGAGAGAAAAGAGCTGCTCCAGATTCTGGCAAGAAGCCCAAGACTCCAAAGAAAAAGAAAAAGAAAGATCCAAACGAGCCACAGAAGCCGGTGTCAGCATATGCCCTGTTTTTCAGAGACACACAGGCTGCAATCAAAGGTCAAAACCCCAATGCAACCTTTGGAGAGGTCTCAAAAATCGTAGCGTCTATGTGGGACAGCCTTGGAGAAGAACAAAAGCAGGTGAGGCACAGATCCATCGTGGCCTTCTGTTACAAAGTTAGCACAGTATTCCTTACACTTCTTTCAGGTACACACCTTCACTTAGTATGATCGCTTCTCACGAAAGCCTTTCGAAGCTATGGAATTAAAGAACACCAACGTATATATCTAAACAAGTCTCCAGTTGTATTGATTTCTCTGTCAGCTTAAGGGTGCCTGTTCAGAACCCATTCAGAGGAGGGTTGGAAGAAATCCAGGCAGTATCCTGCAAGCATAAACTTTTGATGATAATTGTTTCATTTTAAATAATGTGGAATTTTCCCCCTTTGTTCAAAAAGGGCACTACAAAAGGATTAGGTCCATCCTGCTTGCCTTTCCATTGATCATCTTTCTGAACCCTCGTGCTGTCCTGGTGGGTTTCCAAACTTTGAAGCTGCCTCTGCGTGTCTCATTATTGTCACTAGGCATTTGAAATTTTATTCCAAGTTCATTTTAAAGCTAGGCAGTATGAGAGGTATTCAGAGATTAGCCATGCTGGTGGGAGATACTTCCTTAGAGGCTTAGTCTCCTCTCCTTCCCCATGCAACTCCTCCGCACAAATGAAGAGAAGAATGTGTCCCTTGGGGGTCAGCCCTCCCTTTGCTCCTTGCATGAAACTCCAATTACCATTAATAGGAGTTAACTTTTACATAGCACAGAAGAGGAGATAGACCCCTATTAGTGATAAAATAGAACAATTATTTACCCTTGGTTTTTATTTACAAATCATAAACTCATTTCATGAACTCATTCCTCCTGTAACTATAGAATTTTCCAGTATGTTTGCATTTTATTGTTATATATAGCAGACTGATTTTTCTGTCCCAGAAATGCAATTCTAAAGGACTGGCAAACTGCTACACCAAACTTTTAAACTCTGGAGAGAAAGATCATTGCACTTTGGTCCAACACCCAGCCATCAGGCCAGCCAAGAAAAGGAAGCCTAAATTTAATATATTGGGATTTATTTACGTAACTCAGTGGTCTCACAAATAGAAATCTCCCATCTTTTATGATTTCTGACCTTTTTTTTTTTTCCCCTCCAAAAGAAAACCAAGGTTGAAAGGCCTCCATGTTTTCTCTTTTGTCTTCAGACACTCTACCTGTTGTTGTTTTTATCCTCTGCTTTGGTAAATATGTGTGAGGGAAAGAAGACATTGATGGAGAAACTCATTACTCTCTATAATGTAAGCCGTTTGTAGCAGAGCTTATTCTTCCTGTTACCTTATTTATTGCCTGAGCATGAGGCTTGCAGCAGTTACTCTCAAGGAATCTCTATTACAACCGGAAATCTTTTTCTCATTCGCAACAGTAGATACTAAGATTCTGCTTCAGTGAGGGTAGCAGGGTTGGGTTGGGTTGGGTTTTAATCTCTCTCTGGGGTGTGTGTGTTAACATTTAAAAATCAAAGCCAAGGAGACCAACTTTTTTTTTTATGTGAGTTATGTTTATGTGACCTAATTTGTGCAGCAGTTATGTTATAGCTGAGGATTTATACACTAAAGGTGGTGCTCGTTTTGGTCTTTTAATAGGTATATAAAAGGAAAACAGAAGCTGCCAAAAAAGAATACCTGAAGGCCCTGGCCGCGTACAGGGCCAGCCTCGTTTCCAAGGTAAAGCTGAGCTGGAGCGGCCGGTCTCTGAAATAGTTACGACGTGGAACGCAGCCCTCAAGCGTTGAAACCGTAAATGCAACTCCCCTAAGAGTTGATAAGAAAGCATCTTGAACAACTCATAAACTTACTGGTTTCCATTAGAGGTTACCCGAATGATGACATGAAAAATATGAGTTAATTTAAGTGGCCAAATCTAAATTGTTTCCAAAAGATTCACTGATCTTTGTGTATGTAGCTCTATAGATAAATTTTAAATAGCCTCTTATTCTTTTTTGTCAAGGATAGGATCTGTGTTAATGTCCTCTATTTAAACTGGGAGATAAGTTTGTCAGGCATTTTTGGACATCATATCATAAATTTTCCAGTGGTTACATTATTATAATAGGGGATGTTGCGTTTTCAACCAGACTATTCCATGTCATATAAATAAATAAACCTCATGATTATTTAAAATAAAATTATGCTCCAAGTACTAAAAGAAAAAGTATATGTATTATACATAGAGTATCCCATAGGCCCTGATAAAGTGCACCAATATCCCAAACAAATGTCTGGATTATAATTGCCTTGATCCAAAAAGAGTATGAACTGCTACATGATATTTTTTTAACATTTAATTACCAATATCTATTGACTTCCCATAGTTTCGAGAGCTTTAGGGGTAGGATAATTTGGTCTAATATATTTTTGCTCTTGACAAATTTCTTCTGGCAAGGAGAGATACTATTTCATTGTCACTGTTGTCGTCTCAAGTACAACACAGCCTCAAAGCCATTTAGAAAGGGTTCATTCTCTTTCTTCTCTTCTTCACCTGAGTTGTTTCTTCTTTCTATTATCTTTATTAAGATCTACCGTTGGCAGCTGCTCAGAATCAGATCAACAGAGGCCCTTCTGTCTTTGTTGACAGCTCTCAGGACACTTCCCACTTCATTAGAAAGAAAAAACCTTTATCAGGTCAACAGCAAAACCTTTTTCTGAGACTCTGGAAGACACAGGTTGGGAGATATACCGATTCTGTACTCAGATTTGCACATTGCAGAGAACAGCTGATTGTGTGGGCGACAGATGTTAAGAATTGAAGTATAGTTGGTAGTTAATTGGATGGAGTGATGTGAATAGAGTAACAGTGTGCATGTACTTCTTAAGTGGATCATTTATTCATTCATTTATCCAGAAGCAGGTATAGGTGGTCTTTGTGAATTAGAGCATGAATGATTGACCATACATGGATTTAAGCCAAGAACCAGTATCTCAAAAGGCATTCAGAAAATATTAACCATTAATCATCAAGTCTGTGGCTGACTTAGGAGGGAAAACGTGAAAGTTATACATTGTATACTAGAGTCAGGATTCGGAAATACTTCCAAATGGAATTCAATGACATTAAAAACCCAATAGCACAGTATTTAAGAAGAATAAAATACATTTTTTTTCATTTTTGTTTTTTCAGTAGATGTAGTTTGAGAGAATCCTAAATTTATATTCAGAGACCTGGGAGGTAACTATTAATAGAATAGTCCTTGAGATACAAGTTTGGAATAATTTCAGTCTAAACCAAAAGTGTAAAAAGGTGCTAATATGGTGATCTCAGAGGAAGTAGCATCTAATTGTATAAGGTGATGATTAGACCACACCTGAAGAATTGGTTCTGTTTCGGATCCTACAATTTAAAGCAAGATGGCAGCAAGCTGAAGGCCTTTCAGAGTGTTGCCTCCATAATGTTGAGGACAGAAAATCAAATCCTGTCAGGACAATTGAAAGAATCAGGGAAGTGAGGATGTAGGGGTGTGTTATGATCTTAGTCCACAAATATAAGGGCCATCATATAAGAGAAGCTAAGTTGATCTCTGTGACCTAGTAGAAGAATTTATTCAACAGGTGAGGTTGTAGGAAGTAAGGATTTAGTCCCAATGTCAGAAATAACAATACGGTTTCATCATATTGCACATTTAACTCATGCCTCTATGTGCAGAGCCTTGGACCTCCTCCCTTAAGATGAGATTTTCCTATCACTTTTAATCTTCCCGACAACCAAAGCAATTAATAGAAGCCTACTATTAAATCATAAGGGCATGAAGAAGCAGGCCAGGAGGAACTCTTTACAATCATTTTCCCGTCACTGTTTACCATTAAGGTGACACCTTAGAGACACAACAGTACAACTGCCCAGGTGTCTAAATGTAGACTTTCCTTGTGATTTCTTAAGACTAGCTTGGTGATTTTTAAGTACTGGAGTATAAGAGAATTATGTACATGTTTATATGTACAAAACTGTGTGTGTTCTACTTTATGGGTGATTTAATGATTTTTGGAGATAATTTTGAGTATTTACAGGCTCTTCTTTCCCTAAAGACTTTAGAAAGTGACACTCTAGTAAACATGCAGCCCCAGTGAGCTTTTGTAGTGCAAAGAGTCGTGATGCTTTATAGTTGGTTACATGTGTTCAAACAGGCCATCAGAGATGGCGTTTCCTTTGTTGAGTGACTTTCCATATGAGGTCATTTCTCAGGTTCCTTCTAATAGTAGGGTTTTATAAATTTGAATCATAAACACTTAGAAGTAAACATTTCAAATCAACAAAGATAGTGGGTGGCTGCCTCATGCCTCCAAGGTGCCCTCACCACCCCCCTAAAAACCCTAATTTGAGGAAGAATAAGAGGAAAAAATAGTCTTTAAGATGAATCATTCCAATGACTGTTGCATTAGCAAAAGAATTTGTTTTTGTGGAGGTAAGGATTTGTTTTTAGCACAAAATGTAATAGGTAGTTTCTCTTCATGTTTAACCCTAGATCTGCTGTTTATCATATAATAGGTTATTCGGTCACAAGAGTGTTAAACATTCTCCCCTTATCTGCGGCTCCTTTGATAAATTCTGGAAATCTTCAAAATAGTTGGTAAACTAAAACATTTCTAAAGTTGTGAAGTACTTCAATTTAGTATCTCTAAGGACCCCAATGATATTTTTCTTGTATTTGAGTGAGTACTTTTATAAATAATCATGCAAACACAGGGTTTTGAAGTGTTCTACTGGCAGTAGTTTTTTGGTAATTGTAGTGGTTAATTAATAAAAATAGCTAACCTTTGCTAAGTGCTTCCTGTGGGCCAGGCACTGTTTTAAATACTTAACACATCAGCTAAGTTAATTCTAAGAACTTCTACATGAGATAAATACCATGTAACCCCATGTTATAGATAAGGAAACTGAGGACCAGATGGGCAAATTAACTTGCCCAAAGTGACAAAGTTGTTAGGTTGTAGAACTGGATTTTCCCTCTCTTGTCTTTCAACATGTGGTATTCGGTGTAAGCGTGGAAGAATTGTTGCTCTTGAGTATGTGTATCAGTTCTCTTTTGCCACAGTACTGCTGTGTAACAACCATCCCCAAAGCTCAGTGATTTTAAAAGATAAGCGTTTATCTCAGGGAGTGCCAGTGAGCTCAGATCTAGGCCAGGCTCTGCAGGGTCAGCTAGTCCTGCTTTTCTGTCTGGCGTCAGCTTGCAGGTTGGAGGGGATAGGACCCATTCACACACATCGCAGGTGATTGGCTGGCAGTGAGCTGTGTCCTGGGTGAGTGGGCCACAGGTCTGTCATCGTGCACATGGCGGTGGCAGGTTCCAAGAGAGAGTGGAAGGGTGCAGGATCTCTTGAGGCCTCAGCTTGGAACTGGGACAGTGTCACTGTCATCACAGTCCTTTGGCCAAAGCAAAGGCACAGGACTGGCCAGACTCAAGCGGGTAGGGAATTTGACCCCACCTCTGGGAGGAGCTAAAAAGTCACATGACAAAGGGCATGGATACAAGGCAGCATGAATAGTGGTGGCCATTCAAAAAAAATCAACTTATAATACCTAAAAATATTTAAATATTTCAAATACTTGTGTATTATCGTAACATTCTGGAATTTTCTGCCCCCAAATGCAGGCGGCTGCGGAGTCAGCAGAAGCCCAGACCATTCGTTCTGTTCAGCAGACCCTGGCGTCCACCAATCTCACATCCTCCCTCCTTCTCAACACTCCACTGTCTCAGCACGGAACAGTGTCGGCCTCACCTCAGACTCTCCAGCAATCGCTCCCTAGGTCAATCGCTCCCAAACCCTTAACCATGAGACTCCCCATGAACCAGATTGTCACATCCGTCACCATCGCAGCCAACATGCCCTCGAACATTGGGGCTCCGCTGATAAGCTCCATGGGAACGACCATGGTTGGCTCGGCGTCCTCCACCCAAGTGAGCCCTTCGGTGCAAACCCAGCAGCAGCAGATGCAGCTGCAACAGCAGCAGCAGCAGCAGATGCAGCAGATGCAGCAGCAGCAACTGCAGCAGCACCAAATGCATCAGCAAATCCAGCAGCAGATGCAGCAGCAGCATTTCCAGCACCACATGCAGCAGCACCTGCAGCAGCAGCAGCAGCAGCACCTGCAGCAGCAAATCAACCAACAGCAGCTGCAGCAGCAGCTGCAGCAGCATCTCCAGCTGCAGCAGCTGCAGCACATGCAGCACCAGTCTCAGCCTTCTCCTCGGCAGCACTCCCCGGTCGCCTCTCAGATAACGTCCCCCATCCCGGCCATCGGGAGCCCCCAGCCAGCCTCCCAGCAGCACCAGTCGCAAATACAGTCTCAGACACAGACTCAAGTATTGTCGCAGGTCAGTATTTTCTGAAGCCGCACGTGGCAGCTGGATTTCCTCACACCGAGGCGAGTGGCAGAGGAGGGTCGAGAATATATGGCCGAAACTTGTACGCTGGTGTTGGTTATGCAGAAATGTGTAACAGATCAAACGGTCCTCTCAAGTGTCTATTAGATAGGCAATAAGAACCGCAGTGTAGCTGGGTAACATCTTTTAGCTGACTATAAATCACTTTGTTTTTAAACAAGAAAACCTGTGCTCTTTTATGTGATGCCTTTTTTATTTATTCAGGCTATACCTACAATATGTGAATCAAACTGTTTAATGAATCCTGGGACATACTGATGACTATAATAAACTGGCCTCTCTGAGTCATAGAAAATGGCCTTATTTCTCCAGAAGTGAGTAAGCCGCACTTCCAGGCTATTTGAACTCCCGAAGCCCTAAAAAGAAAAAGCACAGTTGTAACTACCTGAAATACGAAGATCCAGTTTCATACAAACATTTGTATGATGTGAATAATTGATGGCATTTTTTTGTCATGAAAATAATGTAAATCACAGACTTTTGCCAAAGCTCTTATTTTTTTTCCTAAATCTCTCCAGAAAAAAAAATGCAAGTGATTAGATCCAATTATTGACTCATTTCCACTTTCTACCCATGACTTCTCCAAATCAAATCACAGTATATGTTGTAACAATATCTATGACCACTGTTAGCCCATTATATTCATTTCAATTAGAAGAAAAGAAATGTGAATATTATATTCCGTGTTTTGAGTGACAAGTTTCGAAAAATAAACACTGTATTTTTAAAAGGGAAATGCACTTAAATGAAAACAGTTATTACAAAAGTTAAGATTTAAAAAGAAAAAGCAAGAGTTTTTATTATGATGTAATACCAGTAGAATATTTAAAAGGCACATCACATCTGAATAATCAATGTAAATATTTTCTTTCAAAGTTGTAAGTTTTCATATCATGTGTTGTAAAGTTTTCCTAAATGAGGCTTTAACGTAAACACTGGTGACATAAACCATTCATTGCTACATTGCTTATTGTGTTTTTATGCTGTTTTATACTTTTTTATGAGTTATGATAGCAGCAATTAAGTTGTTTGTATTTTGCTTAACTAAAACAAAAATGCTTTTATCTTGCTATAGAATAAACACATTTCAGTAAAAACTGTGGACTGTATTTTGATGCAACGACAAGGAAACTGTTCACTTTTCAAATAAAATGTTATGTCAAATTTCACTTTTGGTTCCTTGAATACGTATCGGGTGGGGAAATACACCACATACCAAGTTTTATCTGAGCCCAAGCCTCATCTTCCATTTTCGGTTGGAAATATGATGTTCATGGCTGAGAATTTAGATTGCAAAGCCCTAAACCAGGGCCCTTAAAAAAAAAACCATTGGAAATATTTTTGTAGTTGTGTTTTTGTTAAGATGCAAGTGCAAGGTAAGTATAGAGAAAAAAAAACAACAATCATTTTCTATCTGGGGCTAGAACTAGCTGGGCATTGTGTTGTTATTGCTATTAAAATGGATGGTGAATGCTAATTCTTAAGCCAAAATAATGATTTTAGTGCCCATTTCTTCCCCCCTTCTCTTGCTCTGTGGTGGCTCCTCTTTGAGAGCAGTGTGACCACTGTCCCCAGTTGTCTTGCATGATTAATTACAGCATCTGTCCTGTCAGAAGCTATAATGAAGAGGTCTTGATAAAAATTGCAAATTACCACTGGCAACAGTCTTAAACTGCTTATGATAAAATGAAAATTAAAAACAGCAAGTGTCAACCCTGACCAGAATCCTAATCTGGAAAGAATGAGATTGTACGTGGTGCTGTCCACAGCTACCGTGAGCAAGACATTCAAAAATAATGGAATATGGATTCCTCAAAGTTGTTGTTATATTTCAGAGAATATTTACTGTATGTTGTGGGTTATGAATAATGAATCCAGCTTTCAATATTTCATAATCCTCTCGTACTCTGTATTATGTACAAATATTGAACAGCAAGAGATTCTAATTATAAATTTATAGATTTCTTGCTGTAGAAAAATTTATGTCTAAATTGAAGCTTTTCATAAGATGTATTAGTTGACAGGTATCAGTGTTCAAACAGTCTTAGAATGATGCCTAATCACATCTACAAGGAGGCGACTGTATTCTACAAAGAAATGATCTGTTCGCATCAAACTCATCAGAAGCAGAACTGATGGTAAAAGATTTTCTGTGAATTGAAACTAACATTACATAACAATAAGCACCATTTTATATTCTGTTGTGAAACCTTTAGACAAATGTCTTCAAAATTAATTGGTAAACCACATGTGACAGTAATTGTGTATTAGTTCTGTAATTGTCATTTTGAAAACCCATGAAGTATTGCTTAGAAAAAAAATGTCACTAGTGATAAGACTTAATTGCAAGTGAAGTCTGTTTTCAACTGTTTGCAGTTAGAAGCAGGTGTTGTAACATCTATTAAATGATTTTATAAATCTTAGGTTTTATCACATTTGATTAAATGCTGCTAAGCCACCGATGGTCAATTTTGGGGGGGATGAAGTTTAATTACTGCAGTTTAAAAACGTAATCACCAGGCAAAATTATATATTTAAAATGTCAAAAGTCTTAAATCATGAAAAGAATTCCCCATCCTTGTTATCAGATTATTTTTCTGAGGATTCACGAAAGCATATTATGACTCAACTTATATTCAGTTTGTACCTGTGACTTGGTTTCTGTTCCTAAGCCTTAAGTAAGTACGTGGTGCACTTTTTTGTTACAGGGCAGAAATAAATCAGTAATGAAAAACAGGCATGAGAACTGCGCTGATTAGTGTCATGCCTAAATGGCCTAAATGCCTTCCCTCTTAAGTGGTCGGTCTACAGGCATTAAGGAATCTGCCCCCACCAACCCCCACCTCCATCACACACACACCTTGGCTCTCCCCCTGCCGTGTGGACATTATTTTATTACTCTGGCTAAACATGTCCTTTTTTTGGCATTAACCTGTACTGCCATATGACGAAAAAACATAAGCAGTTTTCATTTTTAGCTGACACGGGGTCATTAGTTCCCGACTCAAAGAACAAAAGCTTAAATGCCTTTGTGCAGCATAATTTCTGCAATATATTACCACCTGACGGAGGTTTGGAGGCTTTCTAAACAGATGGATTAATATCTCAAGTTTAAGTAGGAGTCCTCCACTGTGTCCATTCAGCGGGCTTTAGACATCTGAATGGTTTCTCCCCATTTCTCACTTCATGGAGCATTTTTCAGCACTGGACTTCAATCTAACCTTTCCTTCCCCCCTCCCCAGCCCCCTTTGTTTGGCTTTTGTTTTGCAACAGCTGTTATTATCGTTTTTTGGTCAGCTGTGATTGCTGGAGGCAAAATAGGACCAGATGGTGTTTTGCTATGCATGAATGGAGAGTTAGAGGAGTTGGGATTGAATAGGCCAAGTTTGAATGGTGTCTATGCACCACCTGCCTGCCTTAGCTGCAGCGTACACACCACAGTAGCATGATCCGTCTCAGACCTACTAGAATCGGATGGGAAAGTGGAGAGCTGGGCAGGATTTTCCCCATATTTATTGATCTTCCATGCACTAACAGAATAATGCAGTGTACAGTCAATTTGAGTTAATTGGATATGACACAGCATGGACGTGTAATCTATCACTCTAGAATCCTGGTTCACTTTAAGGATCTCACTGCTCCCCAAAATACACACACACACACACACACACACTTGATAGTAGGAAAACTTAATGGGCTAAGTAGGCACACGTTTTTTAAAAACTCTGTCTAAAATAGTGGGCTTAAGGAGTCTGAGGCTGAGGTTTTGGGAAGGGGGAGACATTTAAAAATAGTGTAAGATAAAAAAAAAACCCTGTAATTCTGAAAAGAGTAGAAAGCCCTCATATTTGTAGGTTGCTCATCAAATATTGTGCATTTTGAAGAAATGTGCCTTAATAAGAAAAGCAAACGGATACACAACCACACTTGGTTTCTCTTGGAAAATACACTTAACCATGTAAGCTTTTTCTCCCCATTCCCTCAAATATAGTTAGCTTTACTGATGATCTGAACTGACCTCGAGGATAAATATTTTCTCTGAATTTTAAAACTAGTGAATAAGATTGCTTAGCCCTCGCAGATTGTGGTCCTACAGGTGTGTGGGTTTTGTGTCAGTGTGTTACTGAGGGAAAGCGTCAAGCCATCCAGGAGCCGTGGAGTCAGACATGCGGACCGCGGCACCATTTGCCTAAGGCCCCAATTACTTAAATTTACTTCTGCTGCATGCAAAACACTGTGATAGGTTCCAAAGGAGATGCAAAAATAAATAGGGCCTTTTGTTTACTTTCTATGTTTGAAATTTTCTGTAGCAAGAGTTTAAAAAACAAAATGATAAAATAACCAGGCTATTATTAACTTTAGAAGCTTTCTTTTTTTTTAGTTGAGGTGGGAAAACCCACCAGACCGAAGATTTGTATACCCACAAGAGACATTAAAAAAATGTGTTTTTTAATCTGAGAAATTAAAATTCATTTAGACAGGGGAGATATTGCAATTGCTTGGGGTATTAGTGAAAGCTGTATGAAATTGTTGGCATTTAAGATGTGCCTTGAAGGTTGTATAAGATTTCAGTAGGCCAAGATTGAAGTTATATCCTAGTAGAAATAGGAAACATCTCGAGCCCAGGGGACAGCAGAGAAAAGCCATTCAGGTTGAAAGCACAGGCACCTCCAAACAGCAGTAGAGAATCTAGCAAAATTGGACACACAGTGCTTTTGTGGAGGTGAGCAGGAAAAGTACTGGAAAGGAATTTCGGGTTCAGATTTGTAGAAGGTCTGCCAGAGACTTATAATTAACTCAAAAAGCACTGAAGGTATCTGAGTAAGAAAGGTATGACTGGAGTTCAGTTATTGCATAAAAGATTTTATCTAGTTTTTAGAAGGGAGTACCCAGTTGACACTAAAAGCTGAAAGAAAAATGGAACAAGATCTCCACTTGAAAATGTATCTCAATATTTTAATATTTAATTATTCACATGCATAAAAGCATGCAATTCACATGCAATAAAGCTGTAACTTCATGCTCTTTCTCCCATCTTCCTGGTATAAGAACACACCATCCACAAAGCCAAATCAAGGCTTTGCTTTTTTTTTCTGATGGCAAATGTCGAATAAGCCTTATCCTTCCATTAGCATCAAGAGGGAGATCATTTTCTGTGTTTCTGCTGTGAAAAGAAAGCTATTTTCACCACTGGTAAAAAGTACCTCTTGGTGCTTGAACTCGAACGTGATGAATGATGAAAAGAAGCCCTTGCTTTGTTGCTGAGTAAAACCTCAGGCAGCACTGGGAGGGATGTTGGTTATGGTCTCAATTTAATTTCAAAGAAGAAGCTTCACAGATAGAAAACGTGAATGTGGATATACCCTTCTTAGCAAAGGAAAAATGCTCTTTTGTAAAACATCTCATTATTCCCAGCATTTGTATAGTACTCTGTACTTTTCAAAGCAATTTTCTGTGGATTACTTCATTCGGTTCCCTCTAGATAGAGCAGGAATTAACCTCATGTAACAAATGAGGAAACTGAGGCACAGAGAGCTGTGGCTTTTTGGGTATCTCTTTGTTTAAAAGAGGCACAATCAGGAATGGAATGGAAATCTCCTTGCTCTAGGGCCTTTGGTTTTCTGTTTGCCTTCAAATATTTTTATATGTATGAGCTATATATTTGACGTATATTTACGGCTACCATGTATTTGTATATAGGTCATGTAAATATATATGTTGTGTGTGTAGCTAGCTAGGTGACAGAAATCCATCACAATGTTAAACAGAATAATTACCCCATGGTTTCCTCATGACTAGGCAGGCAGTAAACCAGAGCAAGTGCCACGAGTAGCCCATGTTCTCAATGGGGCATAATGCCACATGGCACCTGTTTTGGTGTGAATTCTTTCCAATCTGATTGTTTTCCCTACAAGGTCTCTCTTTCTGCTATATACAATAATAATAATATATTGTGTTCAGACAAATGCTTTGACTTGCGGTATTCAAGTGTTAGGGCTGAAGGTGCCATAAAAGTGTCAAAGCATCATATCATTCTACATGTTTAAAAAAGAACACCTTTTAAGGAAGCTTGAGATGGGGGAAGACCAGGTGGGTGTGCACTGTTATGCATTATTTGAGGAATCCAATGAATCACTCCAATATTGAGTATGGGAAACCAAAGACGGTCTCTCGCTTGGATTATGCAGAAATGACCTTGCATATTGCTTTGTGAGTTACCAGTCCATTTCTGAGACCACGTGCCCCTTGTTAAGTGGGGTGCATTCTACCATAAGCAGCCGCTTGTCCCATGTCCGTAAGATTTTATCATTGCCTTAGTTTTAAATGAACAGAGCATAAAAGCTACTTTGCAAATGGTCACTTGCTAAGATCGAGTAGAAGTGAATGATGATTCCAAACAATTTCATCGAGAACACTAGGCATGGGCATTCTGGTATTTGGGGCTTTCATTCCCAAGCTGTTTGAGTGACTTATCCAGCATCAACAGAGTAGTGGTTATTTTAAGATCCAGGTCTTATGTTTATTTTCAGATTTCTGGCCTACTTTTTCTTTCCAGTCAGTTTGCTTTGTATCCGAGGATATATTGTTACCAAGAAAGATGCTTTTGATAACATTCCTTGTTATGTGTCATTACTGTCATTCCTCTGACATGCAGAGAGAGCCTTAATTTTCAGTTTATCACAATGAGCAAAAAGGATGCCACCTTCTAAACCTGCCTTAATTGGTAATTTGCAAATTTGATACAAGATTTTAGTCCAAACCATTCAGGCCTGCTGTTCCAGCCCTCACCCTTCCTGCCCATTCTTAATCCTCTGCTCTGTAATTGGTATTGAGTATGCGGAATCCCGGGGGACAAGAAATAGCATCTGAGGAAATTACCTACGTACAGTCTGACCTCTTGTGTGTTTTTTGGATGCCAAATGAAGACATCCATCTTTGGATGTTTAGACAGTTACCTGGAAGGACTGGCACCATTTTGTTCATAATAAGGTTTTTATAAATTGTGTCCAAATGCTGGCATACCTAGCTTGGAACTTTTTAATGATGTTCAAAATATTTTGGCCAAAGAATTTGAATATAGCCACAGTTCTTTCCAAATCAGAATCTAATTCCATGGGGGAAATGTAGTATCCTTTTGCATGCAACAAATAAAATCATGGTTTATGCTATTTGGAGGTAGAAATTTGTTACCAGAAAATAAAAAAGAAGAAGTAGTAGTTTTCTTACAGGTTAAGTGTTAAAATCTTGATTAGTAAGGAGATCAGGATTTCTTTTAGGGAAAATTTAAAAATTTTCAAGATTTAAATATACTGAAAAGGTGGCAAAGATATTTAGTTCTAGATCATCAAAAGCCCAGGATTTTGATGTGCTGATTGGGCTTATTCCATTGCTAGACACAAGTCGAAGCAAAATGATTGGGTTTAATTCCTGCAAAGAAATTTCTGTTTATTCATAGTTTAGATCTGAAGTTTGTTTATTACTGAAGAACAACTTACTTATCTGCTGGGGAGAAAATGTATACTTTGTTCAATTTTTAACTCAAGGTCAGATTCTTTTGAGCAGGTTAGGTAGTTGTCAGTGGAGGTTTAAATTCTTGAACCAAAATGTGTTCAGAGATCTGTCATCCTTTAAAGTTGCTCTCCTCTTTAATTGAGCTACATAGGGAACCAGGCTTTCAGTCAAAGAAACAGAGCACAGCCTGGGAAGATCATCAGATGCGTGTGGTTTGTGGGGACCCAGGCAATAGCCATGAAACTGCTTGGCCCCAGAACTAATAAGCTACATTTTGCAAGCCTGTGTTCTTACAACAACTAAGAGTTTTATGTTTGATACAGATGGTGTTTATACAGAGTATGCGAGCTCAGCGTGAGAAGTAGTCATAAAACAGACTGGGGTTTGGTATAATTATTCACAATTACTATTGTATAATTGAATGCCATAACTATTATATAAAAAATATTTTAAGAAGTAGACTCCACTCATACTTCCACAATAGTTCTTAACAATAAGAGACATATGCTGTAAACATCGTAACATATTTTATGGTGTTTACAAACTTACACAAGGTTTGGGGAAGTTGCAAATGTAAAAGCCCGGGTTCTCTTTCTTGAATCCTTGGGGAAACCAGCTGCCCTCACTCACCTTCAGTCTCAAGCTCCTTGTCTAGTCACCTGCAGGATTTCCGAAGCCAACTGCATTGGGCCACCCAAATGAACGGATGGATGTAGACAACAATATTTTAGCAGCTACAAAAGAGAAAAAAAGAATGGGTCTGTTTTGTGGAAAATACCCAGTTCTCCCACTTTCTGCAAGCCGGCAAAGGAGAGTTCTACTGGGCCAAATTGTGGCAATGGGCACATTAGCACAATGCTAATTTTAATATTTCTGGAGGGAATTAGTGAATCTATAGTATCCAATCATTATACACACAATCTCCTATGTTTTGGAAGAAAAGATGAGCTATATCCCTATCACCCCCAAACTACAAAACAACCAAAAAGAAACTCATTAGAGTTTCAAGTGAAACTTCATTTCCTTTTAATTGCATTTACAAAACAGGTCTGTGTTCAACAATTGACTCTGGCCATCATCTTGTTTTCTAACACACCTGCAGCGGGCATGGAAATCCATGCAGCTCCTTCGCTGCTACTCATGCATGGTGTATCCGTTGCTGAACTTCTGCCTGTGACTTTTCAGGGCAATTGCTAAACTTTGATGACTGGGGTCTTTGTCACAGGAGCATCAAGCACACAACGTGTGTTGTGTTCACAAAAAGTGAGAAGCATCTTTATTGCCTGAACACCCATCCAATTTCTTTGCAGAGGAGCATGTGCCAGGCTGGTGGCACTCTTCGTGCAAGAACATCTCTTGTTGTCATAACGATGGTGCCCTTGGATGCTTATCTGCCAGGTAACGACAAACAGGACATCTTGTGCCTTAGCAGCTGGGAAAATGAGAGCAAGCTCCCTCATTATGTTGGAGGCCAATCCTTAATGTCCCAAGCCTGGGTTGAAACAACCTGTCTTAGGTACGGTTTCCAAAGAGAATGCTTCCAAATGTCCTCCTTGGCCCTGGAGGAGGGAGTCAGTGAAGTATGGCTGCAGTGCCTTCACCCCTGTGTAGCTTCAACCTTCCAGAGATTCTCAACTGTCTTGCTGTTTCCTGTACCTGGAAGATGGCCAAGAAGGGTTGTGACTCAATAAGAGCAACAACACATACAATGAAGTCCAGGGTCAGAGTTCCTGAGAAACCCCAAGGATGCTTGGGGTTTTGCCTACCTGAGCCTGAACCTGCTCACTCTAATTTTTTTTCTAGGTAGGACACAGAAATATATGCAAATATATTTATGGATTGCTAAATTTGACTTACATATTGCAACTGTTTCTTTATGACTATACACTACCCCTCTTTCCCAACTGGCTTAATTCTATGGTACGAGCAGCCCAAGGGACTGGTAATAAAAGAGAACAGTTATTCTTTCTGATGTCAACATCCGTGTTTAGGATTTTATTTCAAACACCCTAACTTCCATTAATAGCTTACTTTGAATGCATTACCTATTAATTATTCTCAACTTTTCATGTTTACAAATGTTACAGATTTTCTCTAAGCTTTATGAAACATAGTATCTATTCATTTGACTTCTCACCCTTTATCTCATCATCTTATGCGCTTACATGTGGGCATAATATTACGCAATTGAGCCATCCACCTATGCCTTCATTCAGCAAATGTTTACATGGTACCTTCTCTCATGGACTTATATTCTGATGGGGAATGCAGTTTTATTAATTCAATAAGTATTTGGGCACTCAATAAAATGCTATCATTAAAAATAAGCAGGGAAGGGGAATAAGGAGGGCGTGAGGTGCACAGGGGGATAAACTACAAGTTTAAATAGGATAGTCAAGGACAGGCTCACTGAGAAAGTGACAATGGGGAGGAGAAAAAGCTGCGTGTCCATCTGGGAGAAGGTCACCCCAGGCAGAAGAACGTGAGTATAAAAGCCCCCGGGGTATTCAGTGTGTTTGACATGCTGCAAGGCATCCAGTGTGGCTCGAGGGGTAGGAAGGAAGGAAACAGCAGCAGAGGAGGCTCAAGTGAGAAGCAGGGGCAGGTCGTGTAGGGTAGGAGTTCTCAGTCCTTGCAGTGGATCAAGGATCAAATAGCTGTTCCTCTTTTTTCCTTATGTGTGATAATGACATTGTAGTTATATTAAAATATAAGAGTCCTTAATTTTTTGAGCCAAATTCTGAAATATTTATAGATATTGATAGCCTAGATGGTGAGATGATGTATGAGATTTGCTCCATAATCATACAAGATGGGGGAAGTGGAGGCAGCCAGGGCTGGCCAGGAACTGAGAGGTGTTGGGGCTGGGTTTTGGGTACACGGAGGTCAATGCACTATTTTGTCTACTTTTGTGTATGTTCAAAATTCTCCATAATAATATTAATATTAAAAAGAATCACCCTGAGGAACCTTTAAGAAAAAGTTCCAGGAACTGATGTCATTGGTTTTAGGTGCAGCATAGACATTGCTTGTTTGTTTGTTTGTTTTAAGCCTCTTTAGGTTTTGTTAATTTCCTGTTAATGTGATAACCATTGCTATAGGGTCTTCCAGGTCATTCTTAGGACTTAGGATTTTACTCTGGAAGGAGAAATGGAGTCACTGGAGAATTTTGAGCACAGACTGACACAGTCTGCCTTTTGTTTGAGACAGATCGTTCTGGCTGCTGGGTTGAGAATAAACTCTATGTGAGCGAGGGCAGAGGTTGGGAGGTCCAGCGAATTATGGACAGGAGTAATGACAACACAGTGTGGTGAGGGCTGTGATAGAATGTCGGGCACATAGAAAGGCAGTCTGAACACACATATTGTCACTCCACCCAAGCACTGCTGGGCAAAGAGGGACATTCTGAAATACTCCAGGTGATGCACTATGAAAGGGTAATGGTATTTCAGGCCTTGGCTAGAAGATAGTATAAGACAGTGAGGTGATACATGGAACTTCCCATAGCAGGCGGAAGTCGCTTGCTCTCTAAGACTTTTGATTTTCTTTGCCTGAAGCAATTAGCATTGCAGTGATTGTCCAATCTTTGCCCTAATTTCTTATTCTTAATGAGCTGGGCAAGACAAGGAAGGTCAGAAGGAAGAAAGATTTTCAGGGTTCAATACACAAAAACTTAACATTTTTCACACTTTTTTCTTCCTTCCTTCCCTCCTTCTTTCCTGTCTTTCTTTCTTTCTCTTGCTCTGTCTTTTTTGGGGGGGACAGGAGGGGAGGAGACAGGACCTCAACTCTGTTGCCCAGGATAGAGTGCAGTGGTGTCATCATAGCTCACTGAAACCTCACACTCCTGGGCTTAAACAATCCTCCTGCTTCAGCCTCCAGAGTAGCTGGGACTACAGGTGCACACCATTGTGCACCCGGCTAGTTTTTCTAATTTTTGTAGAGATGGGGTCTTGCTCTTGCCCAGGCTCATCTCGAACTTCTGACCTCAAGTGATCCTCCCACCTCGGCTTCCCAGAGTGTTAGAATTATAGGCATGAGCCACCATGCCCAGTCCTTTCATTCACTTTTGAATGTACAGATGCTTCAGAAGTCCAGCCAAACCACTCAAACCGCAGTCTCCAATGACAGTTCTGGCATTGTTCCCATATGAAGAAATCTTACAAGTTTGAAAGCAGAGCATTCTGCATCATTCTGGGCTGTATATTCTAAATATTGCTCTTAGACACCTTCAATAAATCTTGTATAATTTATAGCAATATATTGAGTGAGCCTTCTGTAAGTTTCTATATCGGATTTAGTGGGGAACACATTGCTTAATATGTAAACTTTGCCTTTAGGGAGCTTATGTTCTGATCCCTCTTCTTGAACCAACAATTGCACTTCAATGAATACACAAATAAGCACTTGATGACCTAATTTGTTGTGCAGGTCACTACTGATTTTAAAGCTCATGGAATGCAGGGTCCATGTCTCATGCACAAACATTTACATTCCCTGCAGCACCAAAGTGGGTCCACAACAGAAGCTTACAGATGTTGGTTGACTGATTTCTAGATAATTTTAAGTGAAATTAATAATATGACATAGTTCAAGAATAATGCATTTTCTAACAGTTATTTTAGGGGATAGGAAGATAACTGCAGCTGATCTGACCTAGCTTCTGGAGAATCTGCATACTTTCCCAAATCCAACTTACCAAAAAGCAAATGAGAAGGGGAAGCTGAATTGGTTAGATTTCCCAGTGGCACCTAAGAGAATCACAACGTTGGCCAAGACTCTTAATGCTGTCTCAAGTTTAAACCCTTTGGACCAGGCCCATCTGGCTAAGAGGGAAAAAATTACCAAACTTGACATGGATTCAGCTTGTCGCCCCTCCAAGAAAACCCTACTTCTGCCTCCCACATTGACCTTTCTCTCTGCATTACCTCATTTAATACACAAAACCCTTTTTCATTGCTGTTAGTAGAAGTAATTCCATACCTTGTACATGTATGAATGTTGTCTCTTCCTTCAGCAAGTTGGAAGGACAATGCCTTCTACTTCTTTAGAAGCCCACAGCAGGTGGTCAATAGATACTTTTTAAAGAAACAATTAACAAAATGCATTATTCTGTTCATTCTTGTTTTAATTAGGACTCTCAATTGCAAGAGATAAAAACCCAAATCAAATTGGCTTAGGGAAAATAAAGGAATTTATTTGCTTGTATAACTGAAAAGTCCAGGGACAGAACTGGCTTCAGACACAGCTGGTGCTAAGAGCACAAACAAGTCATCAAGACTCATTTTCTCTCCGTGTCTTTGCTCTGACTTCTACTGGATTATCTTCACTCTCAGGCTCTACTCAACAATTTCCAGAAGCCCAGCCCACAACATCCTCACCGCTAGCCCTCCCAGCAGGAAAGAGAATGGTCTCTTCTTTCACCATCTCCGTAAAATCTCACTATGTTCAGTTGGCTCTAACTAGGTCTTGTGCCCAAGCATAAGCCAATCACTGTAAGCTCGTGTATGTGTACTGATCTGATTGGTTAGGCGCAAGCCACTTGCTTAACCCTGGAACTGAGCACGGGTTCAGCTCTACTAGAAATAAATGAACTAACAACAGGGAGAAGTGGTTCTCCTATGAGAAACCAGAGTCCTGTTGGCAAAAAAAAAAAAGAGTGAGTGATGTCAGGTGGCATTAATAGTGCATGTGACATACTTTCTGCAAAGAAAATTCTTCTCAGAGAGTTGACTGATACACTTATCAGGAATCTGGGAAAAGGAGAAATTTGCTTTTGGTGTGTGCCAAAATAATTCATTTTATGGCATTGGGAATGCGTTCTCTCTTACTCTCAGCCTCCCTTTTATGTAAGAACATAAAAGGCAGAGTCAACTCCAGTAGTCTATCCTTACAAAGTGAGGCTATAGGACCTGCTTGTTGTTCAGATCCCCTGTCCTTGATTTTACGCATAAAATAAGGAGAGAAATTCTCCTCTGCAAAACCCACCGAACACCCACAACCACACTTGCCTCCTCTTGTTAGCCTCCCTGTGTGGCTGTTGAATAAATGATTGAACGTAGGACAGCACTTAATCTTCCTAACAATAGCCCTCCAAACATCCAACACTGTCAGATGCTTTCCTGGCATTTGAAAATATGCCTGCAGCAAAATCATCTATTGAATTTTCACTGTGACTAAGACCTTGCGGACAAAGAAGACTGTCTGTCTGTTAAGCTGCCATCATTTGGCAAAATCAGTAGCCATGGGGCCTCCTGGGGGGAAGAATAGAAGACATGGAAAGTAACTCCCCAAAAGCCAGCCAAGAGTGGGGTGCTGGAGCGTTCCCAAGCTTGTTTACTGGCTTGATGTTTTCCACAGAGAATAGGTGGGATGCACTCCAATTTGGGAACATTTTAGAGTGAGGGTCTGGGAGTTGGGAAGAGGGGGTGGCCCTCCATAAAATATGGGGTGTCCCAGATATTCCAGATACAGCATTTGTCACTGTAGGGCTCTGTGTCAGGGCTTCTTTCCACTTGTTCCACGCAAACTCCTGACCTCGGTTGGATTTGCCACTGGGACGCTTCCGCCCATTTTCTAACACAGTCATGTTTTATAATTTTAAAAAATGGTTGATATAAGATTTCAGTACACTAAATGAGTTTTAACGACTAGATAATGAAAGCTACATAGCTTTGGCTTATTTTGTTGGTAACAGACATTGCAGTAAATTCCCTACTCTTGCTAATTTCTTCTCCTCTGGCACTGGCTCCTGATACATGAAACAGGGTTCTCCAACATGACCCTCTAGCCATAGCTGATGGACTCACGGGAAGACACCTGTCCCTGGGTGAACCACTCAGATTATCCCTCCCTGGAATTTGCCAGTAGGAGCAGAGCCCGAGGGCCAAAGCAGTGGAGTTGATGTTAGCATTCTCTGCAGTGCTTCCTGGTCTTTTCTGGTAAATATACAAATTCCAAGCTACCCCTCCCCAATTCTGGTTCAGCAGGTCTGGATTAGACCCAGGAATCAGTGTTTTAACAAGCACTCCTAGGTGATTCCTATCATCAGGTTGTTTTGAAAAACGCTTGTTAGAGAAGGTCTAAGAATGTCCACCATGTGATCACCATAGCGGAAAGGTCCTTCCTTTCTACACCCTTGTGAATGTCAACAATTCATTCCATAAACAAGCCCATTACATTCTCTTTTGACTTTATATTTACTACAGTTAGTTTCTATTGCTTAAAACAAAACAATATTAATTTTAGAACATACACTTTCTTGAGGGACCAGCCAAGGGGTATTGCATGTTGAAATCAAAAGAAACAAGCCATAGATAAATATGTAAGAAATAGATGACCTAATTAAATAAAGCCACTGACTGGTTGGAGTGGCCTTATAGTATTGTATGTCTACATTCATTTTCCTGGGAAGGAGAATGACATAATAAATGAAGGACGCTGACCCTTTAGGAAAATTAACAAACTATAGCTATTGTTTTTGCAGATCCATCTGACCTATGTCTGATGCAGTATTTTTTTTCTACCATTTTATTTTCAGAAAGTAGCTGATGCCCCAGGCTTTCTTGGTCAATATCCCCTTTGTGCAAGGATGAGTGTTCATCTTTGGATGTAACATTGATATACGAGATAAACATGTGGCTAAATTTGAAAAACACCATTATCCCCTGTTTGACGGCTGGGTCAAGAAAAGCCAACAAGTCAAATGGTTTATCCTTGAGCACATAGTCAGTGAGTGTTCTGTTTTTACTCAAAGTCTCTTAATTCCCAGACACTGGTAGGTAGCTTCTGCCTACTTAAGTGAGGTAAGTCTGCTAAATGCACATGGTTGTTCTTGCCAAAGAGCCAAACTCTACTGGTCATGTTCCTTGTCTAGTCTTTTATTTAACTAGATATGTCTAGCACAACTTCAGTCCTAAGCATTAGATGATTTGCAACACAGATCTCTCCAAATTAATGACAGTGCCACACGCAGAAGTTTCCAAAATGAACATTCTTTGTAAGAAGAAATCTCTTTGCAAGAAGAATACATATCTTAGAGTCCCAGAGTAAGGAATATCTGCAAAAAAGCATTTTTTTTTCTTGGATCAAGTTCTACAGCTCTAGTTTGTTTTCTGTTTTCTCTGTTTCTGAGAGCCAAACCTTACAAATTGCTTTCAACATCCCTTCCCAGTATTTGATATGTGGATGAGATTCTAAATTACTTCAGATTTCCCTAAAAATGTCACTTTAGACTTGGCTGACAGTGTGGCCCGAGGCAGCCCAAGATAATTTGAAATAGAGTAACAGTGTCCACTATAATATTTCAAACATTTCTTCTTGTTCCTCAACCCTGAGCTGCCTTTTTGTCCCTTCTCACATTGACAGCCTACTATCAATTCCAGCAGGGAGAACACAGCCTGGATATTTGCCAGGTAATTAGTTGGCTATAAATCAGTAAGAGTTGGTCATTTTATTAAGTGTGTTCACATCTTGTTAGCAGTTCCTCACCAGAGCCCATCAGCACTGTGGCAGCTTTAGTTTGTTAATCTAATATTAAGTCTCTTAGGTAATGAGACATTGAGGAAAAAACATTCAAGTGGGATAATGTTTGGGGTCTTTATTTTCGCACTGCACATTACTATCTAATTAATACCAACTGTACGAACCCACTGCCAGGAAGCAATGCTATCTCTTGTTCTGTTTTTAGTGCTTACCCTCCTTGTGAACATTAAAGCAGCATACAAAACACCAGAGTGAAGTTATCCATGAATTCTGGAAATTTCAAACCTTCCTGATGTCTCCTATAGGGAAACCACCTTTTGACCTATGCTTATGGATTTCTTTCCAGTTTTGTTGCTAATATGAGGAGGGTAATGTGTGCCTTAGGGTTAAGCAAGACTTTCCTACTTTTCATGTATTAAATAATAACTTCACTTGTGAACAAGGCTAACCTGAATTTTGAGGTCATCAACTTAGCTTCATAAAATGCCATCTTCGACTCTCCAAACTCTTTCCAAACTCATTCTATAATCTGTAGTTTTTGTTTGTCTGATAGCCATTCTTATGTTGGTAACTGAATCTCAGTGTTCCCTTCTATTCATGGTATGGATGTTGCCGACTCCACTCTTGGCCCAAGAGTACCGTGTTTCCCCGAAAATAAGACAGGGTCTTATATTTATTTTTCCTCAAGAAGACACCCTAGGGCTTATTTTCAGGGGATGTGTTATTTTCCCCTCAAAGCCTCAGATTGCAGCACGCACAGGATGGCCGGGACCTGACTCAGGGAGCCAACCTTGTTGGTGGGGCTGCCCGCACCTTTCCAGTCACCTCTGGGATAGCAGCTGTCACGATGGGGCAGATGAGAAGGGCTGCTCGTCTTCTTCACCACTCCACGACGAAATGCATGGGTTGTGCAGATGTGATGCGTAACCACGCCCATCACTAGGTCTTATTTTCAGGGTAGGGCTTCTATTGCGCAAATGCTCAGAAATCCTGCTAGGGTGTATTTTATGGGTAGGTCTTATTTTCGGGGAAACACAGTAGACATACAAGCCAGGCCTGGCCACTGGGAGCATCACATCTTACCTACCACAGGAACAGGCTTAGAGATGGACACATGACTCAGTTTATGGACCTAGATGCTGGGTTTTTTTGTGGTTTTTTTCTAGATCTCTTGGGAAAGGGACAATCCCTCCTTTCTACCAAGGTTGCTCAAGATTGAGCATAATAGCATTTAGGAGACCGTCGCATTGTGCTTCAGGAATGCAAATGACGTCCAACGGAGGACAGTGAAACCAACAGGTGGAAGAGTAAACCCGAGTCTGGTGCCATGATTTAGGTCTTTGGACCCAGTCCAAAGTCATGCCTGCAGCATCAAGTGGACTTCTCAATTAATCATACCAATAAATCTCCTTTCCTACTCAAGCCATTGAGTGGGATTTTTGTCACGGTTGCATAGAAGTCCTGACTTCCACCCAAACCTCTTTGCACCCTATCTCACACACCTACTCTCCTTTCCCTGTCCCACTCCATGATACGCATCTCAGTCAAAATCTGCTCGTCTTCTAAGATTGAGTTCACAGGGCCCTGCTTCCAAAAATGTTTTTCTGATACTTCCTCTAATTAAAACGAATTGCTTACCCCTCTCTTTTTCCATGGCATCCTACAATTCCCTATGGCATTTTTTTCACATTCACATTTCCATTTCTCGTAAGCTCTGGAGGTACTATATCCCAAACACTGTAGATAGTCAATAACTTATTGAATTGAAATTAGTGCCTTCAGAGGCTGTCAGCACTTTTCACCTTCTTAGAAAATAATTAGATTAGCGATGAGTCCCCTAAGCTGCATTTCCCAAACTGATCCATGAAATACTGGTGTACTTTAAGGTACTTGAATAACTGGTGTTAAGCTATAAAAAGGTCTGTGGTCAAATAAACCTAGGAAACTCTTAGTTAAACATAATTAAATCAGTGCTTCTTAGAGCTTTATCACATCAGGAACCAATGTGACACTCCAGGCAGAACATGGCACGTGGATGTAAAACGACATGACTGTCAGTCAGGGTCCAGGCAAGAGACCGAAGCCACACAGTAATGTGAACTGGGAAAGTTTAATGTAAAACAGTTATTAACTAGTTCCAGGGGACTGGTTAACAAGGCATTAAGAGATCTAGAAAGAATACAGGAAGAAGTAGATTTAGGAGAGGGCTCCCCCAAGACTGAGATTCATGCTTCATTGCAGAAGATGTGGCTCTACTTCAGCGGACGGCAGAGGGCTCACAGAGGTGCCGCAGCCCACAGCTGCAAGGAGAAACCACTGGCTGAGATGCCAACAAAACTTCCCTGGAAACTGCCCAGTTTGAACTGTTGAATTTGCTTCTCATATCTCACACCCAAGGGAAAAAAATCCCTTTGTAATCTTATACTCTGAAAACGAACATGTTTTAATCTTTCTTGCTTCAGAGTACTGGCATTGGCGAACTGCCAGTAACAATTTTAAGTTGCCTGAGGGCAGTGAACATGTTTTCTTTTTCTTTTCTGTGTCCCACAGTGCCCTGGAGAGTGCCAAGTTTTCATTTTTCCAGCTCTACACTGAATTATTTGTACTTCTGTATAACATTTATTATTTCTAGCTTGCCATAATTATGTTAGAGGTTTAACAAAAATTTCAGCTTAAATGCTATTCATTCCACTAAAATTTCTAAGGCTGACCTGACTAGACGTTTTATTTCTTACCTAAGATTCATTTTTTTTAAATCTGTATTTAAATTCTATTGCTATTTGTCTACATTCCTCAGCTTCCTGTTACAGAGTCTTCATGAAAATGTCTGACTCACTTGACATCTTGGTAGTTTTGAAGATGTCTGATGATTTAAGTTGAAACTTAGAGAAAACCCCACTCAGTACTGTCCTAAAAACTCAAGATATTTACTTCTCTCACATAATAAACATTTTAGAGACAGTTAACTCAGTTGTTTTACAATGTATGTAGCAGCCTAGCTCTTTCCATTCGTCCATCCTGTCATCTACAGCTTCTTGTGCTTTTATATGGAGGTTTATTACCTCAAATTTGCAAGATGTATCAAGTCCTCACATGAGAATATCCAAAGAAAGAAAGGAGGAAAATATTAATTTCTCTTGTATCAGTTCTGGATCACATGAGCACACCCAGCTGCCAGGAAACCTGGAACATTAGGGATCAGGCATGTGTGGCTTCTGTCATGGGACTGGGCGAAGGTGAAATGGGATCAGATGTTCCTCTTGATATGAAAACTGTAGTGTAAACTAGAGTAGATGCTCATTAAACACTCATTGAATGAATACATGCATGAATGATAGTTTTTAGTGTGTACTTCTTATATTTTATGCTATTATGGGATTCCTGCTCTAAATAAAACATTGTGCCAAATGATTAAGTTGCTTATTCTCCAGTTGCTTATTCTTTACCAAACAATCGTTTGCTTGTTTTCCTACTTTCCTTGTCATTGAAACATCATGTTTGTAATATTTCACTAGTGTGAGCAATAAGATTAGAGACAATGCATGGGAACACTGATCTAGTTTAAAATTTTTTAATGTTATCTCTCATTTATATACAAATTTCTTCTTTTGTGTGCATGAAAGTCTTTATTTTCTCACTATTTGAAGCATTCCACAAGACTACATTCTCCAGATATTATCCAGTTATTATTTTCATTATTATTTTTCATGAATTTTGATTGGGTTCTTTCTCTATGCTGCTGTTATACAATGGGCTTAGCATGCATTATCTCATTTAATCTTCACTTACCCCATTAAGGAGTTAAGATTACTAATAGATAATTTCCCTAAGATCATCACAATGTAGATCTAGCATTTGAACCAAGATCTGTCAGGCATCAAGGATTGTTTTTTAACCAGAATTCTATACTGCTCTCCATGGAGATCCTCTTACTTACCTTTTTCTCTGTCTAATGTTATTTGTCCTGTGGTCCAAACTGTTCTCTTATGTTAATGGTTCTGGATTTTGACCGTGAAAGAGTAATTGCTATTTAACTTCCTCATTGTGGTTTCAGACACTAGGCAACAAATAGCACAGGGTTGTGATCTCTGAAAGAAAGAAGACAAATGAGGTGAGATCAATGATCACCAAAACTTTCTTTTTGAGGTCTTTTATGGATTACAATACAGTGGAAGAAAACCCAATGAAAACAAAGAAGTCTCACTGTATTCAGGAGAAAGAGAGTAGAGATTGGGGAGGCCTAGGCAGCTGGAATTTGTGGAGCAGAGTACAAGAGAGGAGGGAGTATGCTTGGAAAGAGCTCTCAAAATAGCACAGGAGTTCTTAAGTGTATTGGCTAAATACTAAGTTGCATATGCATAGGATGAAACTTCATGAGCTCAGCCCAGAAAAACTACTGAAGACCTGTAAGCTGAACAATTCCTAGACCTGGCACAGGACCGGAGATATTCAACTTCTCACATGCCAGATGGAGAGAATACATTGAACATCCAAACACTCACTAGAAACTCCAGAAGGGTCATATCTTAGTAGCAGGAAGCAGCCCTAGAATAAAGGCTACTCTGTACCATCCATGACAAATTAAAAACCTCAAAAGGAATAAACTAATCTGTAAGAAATTTAGCTGCCTACTAAGACAAAATTCAACCTTCTTTAAAGACCACCAAAATCTAGAAACTCAACACTGTAACATTTACAATGTCCAGAATCCAATTTAAAACATAGTAGGCATGATAAGTGACAGGGAAACGTGACCCATATCTAGGGGAAATCAGTCAATAGAAATGAACTCAGATATGACACAGATGATGAAAACAGCAGACGAGACTTTAAAACTGCTATTATGTATATGCTCACAAATTTAGAGGAAAATATGTGGAAGGAAATGGAAGATACAAAAAAGAATAAAACTTCTTGAGATGAAAAAATACAATATTTAAAGTAAAAGAAATCAATACATTGGGTTATTTACTTAGCCATTGAAGAAAAAAGATCAATGAACTTGAAGATGTAGCAATAGAAACAAATCAAACCGAAACACAGAAAAAAGACTGAAAATTAAAATGAAAAATGCTTTATTGACCTGTGGAGCAAAATATTAATAAGATATAAAATACGTGTTATTGGAGTCCCAGATAAGGAAAGGGAAGAGCAGAAAATATTTTTAAAAAATAATACTGAAAAATATTTCAAATTTGATCATAACTTGAAATTTATAGATTCTAAAAATTCAACAAACTGTAAGCAGGATAAATACAAAGAAAACTACATCAAGGCACTAAAAATCAAATTGCTAAAAACTAGTGGTGAAGAGAAAATCTTGAAAGCAATCATAGGAAAAAGTCTACATCATAAATAGGGGAAGGAAGATGAAAATGAATGATGATTTCTCATGAGAAACAATGCTAGCCAGAAGACAATAGAATAGCATCTTTGAAATGTTGGGAGACAAACAAAAAAACCCTGTAGACCTGGGATTTGATATCAAGGAAAAGCATCCTTCAAAATTGAAGGATAAATAAAGATATTTTTAGAATAAACAAAAGCTAAGAGAATCCCTATCAATGATGCTTGTAGGAGATCATTTAAGACCACATCTCTCTATCTTGCCTGACTTCTATTCCCTTTTATGAACTTATTTCCTTTTATGCCAGACAATTGAGGTAATGCTCTGTCTTTGATTGTGCCATCCAAGTGAGATTTAAACAGCTCCTCTGTGGACTCATCCTGGTGTTCTGATTTGAAATCTTGGCACTGGAAACTTCCACATGCACCTTATCCTTGATCTTTTCGGCTTTTGTGCCTTCTTTCCAATCTTTGGTGGATTTGTAAACTCAGAGGGGCAGTCATTATGTATTAGTCATTTTTATAGCTTCTTTTGTAGCACTTTTGACCATAATATGTGCTTTAAAATGTTAATTTATCATCGATATTAGAAATTTGATAAATTGATCTTGTTATTTATTATGAACATTCTGCCTCTACCGGGTAAGGATTTTTGATATTACTGCTGTAGTTTTTGTTTTGTTTGTTTTTGGTTTAGGATATTTAGCAGGTATGTCTTTTTTCAGAGATATGGTAAAAAAAGAGGACCACAAACACTGCCGAAGTCTTTGGCGGAGAAGTAATTTTGGTTTTATTATGACATGTAGGTAATTTCCTCCATTAGAATGTAAGCTACACAAGGAGAACGATTTTTGCTGTTTTATTCACCATTGTGTCCCTGGTATCTAGAACCATAGTGGTCACTCAACAAGTTTTTGAATGAATGAATGAATGAATGAATGAATGAATGAATGAATGAATAGCTGTTTGATAACACCTGCCCATCAGAGCCCTCCACTCAGGTCATGTAGGAAAGCTATTCCCCAGGGAGAGATAATAAGAAATAGCCTTACACAATTATTAATCACATTTTTAAAATGTATTAAAAATGCACATAAACGTTTGACATGGACCTTAGGAATTACCCCACTGTGCACTGGTAAACATTCTCCGGTCTTTATTGAGGCCATCAGTATGGTATACTTATGTATTTGTTTCTTTCGTATTTTGAGAAAATAAGAAAATATGATGATGGAACTCAGGCGTAGTGGGCTGGTTTTGACTTTGGAACTAGATGGACTGAAGTTTGGATATGAATCTTGGCTTCATTACTTTCCAGATCTGCAATCTTGCTCAGAGCTTGTTGTTTTACTGTCTTTAAAACACAATAACTGTCTTTGCAAGGAAGTTGTATAATAATGGAAATGGGTACATTGGGCACAATGCCTTCCTCATAAAGTTCCATGGATTACAGGTATTATTTTGATGGGACTGAGGTTTCCTTTTGCTCTACCAAACTTCATATAGCCTAATGTCCAAATTCTTTATAATGACCTCAAAGGCCTCATAAAATCAGGCCCTGACTTACTACCTCTCCCTTCTTACTCATCAAAGGGACCATGTTGGCCTCCTCTCTATTCTTTACATGGCTAAGCTTGTCCCTGCCTCAGGGCCTTTGCATTTACTGCTCCCTCTGCATAATATGCTCTTTGAAAACTGACTCCTATTCAGCTAAAATGTCACCTACTCTGTCCTCTCAAATGAAATCCCCAGCTCCCATCACTTTCTATTAAATCACTACATTTTATTTTCTTTATTTAATCTGGAACTCTCTGAAATAACCTCATTTATTCATTTGTTTACTTGGATAGTGCCTCTCTCTACTAAGATGTGAGCTCCAAAGAGCAAAAACTGTATACACCTTCATTTCTGCTGAAGCCCTAGTGCCTAGAACAGTGCCCAGAACATGATAGTTTCAGGAAATTTTTGCTAAGGGAATAAATTTTAATTAGTCATTATCTTCCTTGCTTGCTTATTAGAAAAAGCATACCTAAATGAGTCTCAGTTTTTCACTGACAGTTAGCCTGTACTATGGAGAGTCTGGCAATGTCCAATTGATCAAATTGAGAATTAAGGAGATAGAGATGTTAAGAAAGAGGAAAAGTCATGAAGAAGAAAACCCTCGAACTTCTTTTCCTCAAAGTAGTACAACTGATTTTCAGTGTTTATTTCAGGGTCCCTTTTCAGCATTCGTTTTTTTCCTCCACCATCAATCATTGTCAATTTGAAAAAGTACAATACTTAGGGTCATTTATCTAGACCTATTGGAGTCTAAAATTATACAGCTCAGTCAAATATATGTGAATAAAGACTGTCATTTCTGATTAATGACATGTGACTTGAATGTCTTACAAAATCATTTGTGCCATCCAAGCTTTACAGAAAGGTTATTATGTAAGGTCTTCCCCTAATGTTTCTGTTTTCCCCTCTAAAAACCCGAGAGGATCCAATTTCTCCATAGGAGAAAACGTGGATGTTTAATGATTTCAGTTGTAATTGTCACTCAGGTCCTTGGCTTGCTGGACCAAAAGTGTTTTTCAAGTTGAAAATTCTCTTCCACTGGATGGTTAAGCAAGCTTATAATGTTGCTGTTTTGCAATTTTTGTTGCCAACATAGCCTTCCCTATTATTGAAAAAATAATCCATGTAAGACACTAATCTTATTCAGTTGATGCAGAAAAAAGAAGAATGAAAAACATGCCAATTCTTTGTCAATTACACTTTCCATGAATCATCAACTCTCTTCTTGAAGCATAAAATTCCACTTTAGTATAGTCCCAAAAACATGGAAAAGAAAGATTTAGAACGAAAACTTTGGAGGGGAAAAAGTCAGGACTGAAATAATGGAAGGGAAGAGAAAATTTTCTTATGAAGTAACACTATATTCTACTTCTCCTCAATGGTATTACCCTGTCTCTTAGATTATTTTCACAAAATCTCTTTCAGCATTCTTTTCTGTCACTAGGAATGTAGGAGATCATTAGCAACCATCAGTCACGTGCTTCTAAGGTATGACTGAAGTAAGTGGCTGGGAGTACGTGTTAAGAGGTAGAAATACTTCTTCCCTCCCTTGATGTCTCCTTTAAGAAAGAGGGAACTTTTCAGGTGTGGCACTTATGGTCTTACCCTCTCCATCCTTTGCTTGGGGAGGCGGATTGACATATGATTGTAAACATGGAGGAAAGAACTGGGTATAGTTGGCTCATTTCTGACTTATTCATCTTGGAAGTAAGCTATCCATAGGGAGCATAGTTTCTCTACTTCTCTTTCTACCCTAGAAAAAGGGAGGAGGGGAAGCTTCCTTAGTTACTGCCAACACTAGGTAGTTAAGTCTTAAGATTTGGAGATTCAGTATTGATAAGTCCACATAAGTATCTTCCCAGATGGGTCATTTCCCATCCTGGTCTCTATTCGTTCAATGAGTGATATCTTGGCCTTCTTCATATTTTTTCTTTGTTTCTTCATTGTATGTAAAAGCCAGTTGGGGTTGAGGGGCTTTATTTTGGGAGTCCTTCCTCAGAGACTCAAACAGGTATGTCCGCTTGGGTCATAGCAGACAAATGACAGAAACTCACAATATTACATTTATAAAGCTCAATAGCATCTTGGCCCTTTCCCAAGTATCCTACACATAATGACTCTAATCTCTGTTGAGCAGAGATTAGAGTCATGAAGATTGAAAGTAAGGTATGGGTGTTTCTCCATGGAAATTTGGGGTGCCCCTAGCAAGACACATGAGAGAGTAGATGTTGGATGGACAAATGCAAGACATGTTCACTGTAGGAAGTAAAACAACAAATGTATAGGAGAAATGCCGTTTGCCTAAGAGATGCTCTGTAAGTAGAAGAAAGTATCAGTGGTTGGACATGAAGTGGGAGTTGAAGGAAAACCTGATTAGAAGGACATCACAGGGAAGGAAATGCTGCATTCATGGAAGATGGGAGAATAGAGACTAATTAGAATGTAAAATTATCTTGGAAATGCTGAGTAAATAAAGCTAAAGAAGCAGAGTGGATCAAGACACAGAGGGACTAGAAGTTAAAGTAGAAGCTAGTTAGGTTTTATGCACTATGTAAAAGCAATTAGCCATTGAGAGATGTTAAACAGCTTCTTTAAACATTGCACGATGCTATTTGCTATGTCAATATACTAAAAAGACCTCCCTGTTTTCCGTTTTTGGAGAGAGAGGTAGTTGAATCACCAACACGCGTTCCTCCCATGGAGATTGGTGTGAGCCAATCAGGGTAAGCTGTTTTCCCTGACCTGTGACCTGGTCATGTGACCCAACTCCATCTCTTAAGAGGTAAAGGGATGTCTGTCAGAGGAATTTCTGCAGAAAGCTTTTTTTTTATATAAAGAAAGGTCTAAATAAACAGAGTATTTTTCTTCTTCCATGGAAGTTGGAACTGCTGAACCCTTTTACTGTCAGTTTGTAGAAGGAGCTCACGCCAGGAAGATGTAAGAACTTAGGTCCTTGCCACTGTCGATTGGTCAACGACCTGTGGTCTGTTCTGCTTTGGGGTTTCTGTTAGGTGAGAAGATAAATATCTTTATTGTTTTAGACAGTTTGTATTTTTGTTGTTGTTGTTATTTGCCACCAAAACCAATCTAAGAGGCACATGTTTTATACTGAAAAGACAGACATAGAAATCCTTATTATAAAGTGACTTTTTATTCTTCTATTCTCTGCACAATAAAATTGTAATTAAAATATAAAAGAAAAAGTTGTATTTTCATGCTAAAAGCACAGAATTGGGTATTTTATATATTGTGTAATTATATATATAATTCTGTGCTATATATGTATCTATACACCACAATTACACGAAGAAAAAAAAGACTAGAAGGAAATTGACCAAAATCTTAATAGTCCAACAATCCTTTTAAGGGACGCAACTAAGGATGATGTGATATTTTTCTTTTTTCTCTCAAATATTTTATTGTATGATCTCATTGCTTTTATAAAAATTAGAAGATCCAAGTTTTCTTTTCAAGACCAACCCAAATTCAATTACCCTGAATTTTGAGGAATGGGCTATTTTTGACATTTTAATTATCTGAGTAACTCAGAAGCCTTTTGATTTTAAATGTTGTGATAAGAAATTGTTCTGAAATGTATGAGTCACTTTCCTATCTTAGTAAATTGTGTAGTCACCATAATGGAATTTTTCTTTACTGATGGCAAATGTCTCAGGCTTCAGGTCATCCTTCTGAAGGTCAAGGCCTGGAGACAGAGGCTGAGCCAATGTTGAAAATTAGGCTTAATGTGTGCTGACTGAGTGCCGTCCTGGAAATTGCCTTCCCTCCCTGTCTTGTGAGTTATTGAGAGCCATCTGCACTCTATTATTTGAATGATTTGCTAAATATTCCTTTTTAAATTGGTTCACTGTTCTTTGAGAAAAAGTTAATTAAAAAGAAAAATTTATATCACTGTCATATCATGAAAACTGGTGTCATCTGACTATAAATAAAAAGTAAAGTATAAATATAGCCCAAATAATATTTAATAATATTAATCATATTCTGTCTTGATACTGTTAAATGCTAGAGGTTCTGAGCCTGAGTCCTGCTCTGTCTTTATTTTTAAAAGGAGATTAACAAGTGTTAGTGAGATGTTAGATAGTCTATTAGGACCAAACTGAGTCTTCTTGCATACTGAGACTGGTAGAAAAGGATTAACTTTCTCGCTAAGAGATTCAATGTCATTTAAAAATTGCATTCCAGTGCCATTTAAAATGACATCCTCCAGACCACACAAATTACTCATCTACCACTTAGCATTTGGGTGTCACCAGTGGTACCTGCTGCATTCCGTATTTCAGGAAACAATAAACTACATCAGTGACTGTCGACTATGGCTACGCATCAAAAGCACCTGAAGGGGTAAAACACACACACACAGACACGTGGTTCTCAAACATTCCCGTGCATCAGAAGGGCTTGTTAAAACACAAAGTTTGTGACTCAGTAGGTTTGGCACCGGGCCTCAACATTTGCACTTCTAACAAGGGCCCAGGTAATACGGACACTGCTGCCAAAAACCACACTTCGAGAATCAACGCTGTCAGTGATGGAGGAGCCCATTTATTACCAACTTCAAAACAATTTTGCATTCTCAGTTTTGTTAGGGCCAACGCATGTTGGTCTACACAGTAAGCAGAGGACTAGAGCAGAGTTGAAATCCAGACGAATTAAGATGCACATATTTCTTAACCTTTACTCCAGCTAGGAGTACATCAGTTCCTACAAGTTGAACTGCATTATAAAGTAAATAGATCTGCTCCGAGAAAAGGTCAGTACACATGTTCTGCCGCAATCTAATTTAAGTCTATTGCCCTCTGCCCTGTCACTTACTCTGGTGCAAGACACACAATGGTGAAAAGCTGGAATTTAATTGTCTCCTCTATATGCAAGGCTTCCTGGCCCACAGAATATTCGTGAGAGCTAAAGAGAAGAGCCCAAGACTACAGGCTTGCCCAGCCACAGTATCACACACCTCCCTTCTTCTCCAAGACTCTTCTCGAGTTCCTCCTCAGCGCTGGGGACAAGGCTCCTTTGCCATCTTAAGAGTGGTCCTCAACTCTCATTTTCCTGCCTCTTCACTCCCTGCGTGCCATCACCTGGAGTCAGAGACCAGGGATTATTTCAGGAAGCAGCTTTGAACACATCCCTCCGACCGCGGTCTACTAGCTGTTTGCCAGCTCTCTGCCTATTGTGGAATGGCGTTTAGTTTCTATGACTTAATAATTACTTTAATTTCACTCCATACTGATCTGAAGAACTCTTTTTGAATGAAGGGCACTTACCACACTCCTCGTGCTTGCCTGGAACAGACACAGCTAATCAGAATGTGTAGAATTAAATAAAAGAGTGATTATGGGCGGCTGTGATGTGTTATAACAGATGCACCAAACAAGGCTGGATCAACTCATTGCTCGGAAGAGAAATAATTTGCGAAGGTGGTGTCAGCATGGATCTCACAAGCACAAGCGGGAGCATTTAACAGGGTGAAGGAGGGGAAGAAAACTAAAGTTTTTGAAGCACGGAATTTTTAAAAATTCCAATATCTTATTTATTCTGAGTGCTAATGCTAATTCCCATTCAGGTCATCTTCTTATAGTCCTTGGTGCTCAATACTGTTTCAGGTTGTCTGTTTATGGGAAATGAGGACCTTCTTGGTTCAAAAGACCATGAAACAAAGGTCACGAGGGTAGAGAAGAGGTCTACGAGAGCTATTAAAGATATCCCCAACCCTAAGGGTCTAGGGTAAATCTCTGGTCAGCCAAAGTACTCACCCCTCCCTTTCTTTAAAGGCGATCCATGGTGGAAAATCAAAGGTAAGGCAGAGTCTGCTATTGGTGGTAGCCTGAACTTATGGTGTCCTGTTTCCTAGCTGCTCTGAGGCCCCACCTCGTTCTAAGTTATGCCAGGCTCAAGGGGACGTTTTCTCTAAATGCTGCATGGCTAAAGCAGCTGTCTCTACTGTATTTAGAACTCATTAGCTAAATTAAATTCATTTCAATCCCAGTTTTACGGTGTTTAGCTTTTGCTGTGGATACAAGCTCTTGCCAGGCATGGTGAGAAGGAGCAGACGAGATTGAAAACAAGATTTCTGTCCTCCCCAGGCTTATGATTAACTAATAAGACAAGACAAGCCCAAGTACTTCTAAATTGGAGAACAGTTCCAGTACATCATGAACTAACTGCTAAATTATAATGTCTAATTGTCCACAAATGGCCTAAGGAGTAGGGTTTGCAATGCTTTGAGGAGTATCTGAGTCTTGACCCGGTCTTAGGGAAAACTTTGAACTTCAGGTGATTTGCTGTCATTGAACAGGTTTAATTTGGTGAGGAGCGCCTTAAAAGGTAGCTTTTTTAGATGCTATCTCTCCATTGAACCCTTTCTCAATTTGTTCTCTGTAAAATCTGTATGGAATTTTATCACAGATTTTGTGTAGGGCTACCCTTTCATTTATTTTATGTCAAACTCTTTTCTCTCTCTCTCTGTGTATATATATATATGTGTGTGTGTGTGTGTGTGTGTGTGTGTGTGTATATGTTTATCCATCTGTCTAAAGTTTTCCAAAATTTACAAAAGTATATATAATTTTTTTCTCAAGTTTGTCTTCTGTCCACAACCAGACACTGAGATTTTGAAGATAAGTAATATTTCTAATTCGTCTGTGTATTTTACCATAGTGTCTAGGACAATGTTTTTCTTTTTTCTCTAGAAGCAATAAATCTGTCAATTGAATATAATGACTTTGGCTGTCTAGGTCATAGGTAGCACATATCCCAAGTGCAGATAATGAGCAAATGATTATTTCATTTATTCCCTCTTTTTAATATTGGACTGGTAAGAACAAGGCCAGAGGGTCTGTGAGTGGGGTTACGGTTGTGAGGCGAGTCAAAGTACAACAAGATACAGCAGAATGAACACAGTCTCCAACCAGAAGAGCTGGGCACAACACCCCACATGCTTGGCTCCATATTGAGTTCTGGAAACCCCAAATCATTTAGGTTGCCAGTGCCCCGTCCATGCACCAGGCCTGACACGAGTCCTGACCTTTGTTCTGCACATGGATTTCTTTGGGTCAAATGAAATAATATGTGAAAAACATTAAGAGAAGTTCTGGTCCTGTATAAATAAATAGAAATTGTTGTTTATGATAATAAAATGGGGAGGATAGAATACACATTTAAACCTGCATAAACTGGTTTGATCAAGTCCAGACAGTTTGGCAGTTTCGATAAATCTCATGGCTTTATACAGTTTCTACTGTTTACTTGAAAAATCATAACATTTTCCAAAAAAACAAATATAGGGCTCTTTAATTTGGGCTAAATTTGGAAATGAGGAGCACAGATGGTAACCAAATGGGCTGGGGGATTACTGAGAGGCAGCCGGATTAATTGTCCTTTTCATCAGGCTGGGTGATCTTGGCTGGAGGAAAACAGGGCTGTCCTGCGCTTACCAGGTACCTGCCTGTGCCCGCCACATGCCGCAGGCAGGAGGAGATCCAGGATGTGCCCTCAGACCTCCTCGCCGCTCCAAGCCCTGAGGAAACTTGGAAAAAGTTAAGCATAGTTGTCGGTGCTTACAGAGCCATCTGCTGATTTCTGCCTCTATGCCACCGCTTGCCCGCAAGGGCACCCTTACTTGTCTTGGGGAGCCACCCTTGTCTCAGTTTCAGTCCAAGTGCACCTGGAGGAACTGACTCCACCCCGTCCCAGAAACGGTCATGTGACCCAAGCCTGGCCAATGAGAATACTGTGTTGTCCTGGACTGGCAATTGGCCTTTAGGGGCACCTGACCCAAGCCCGGCTATTGGGGCTCCAGATACTTGATTCGAGAACTTGTGTCTGACCGTTAGGAGGGAGAAGCCCTCTGTTTGTTGGTGCTAGAAGGATGCTGGGTTGGAACTCCTGGCCATCTTACTTACACACCTGGGAGCGTGTGCCTGGAAATCGAGCCGGGGCTGAGGAAGGCGCTGCGGGGCGACGAGGACACCTACCTGGCTCGTCTGAGCGCTCGGGTCTACTGACTCGCAGGGCAAGGCCTCATTTCATCACGGGGGTACACGACCGACACGGATTTTGCAGAGGCAGGTGAGGCAGAAGGCACGTGAAGGAGACTGTTCTCAAGAGTAAGGTCTTATACATGGAAATGTGCTTTATCCTTCTGGAAGCCGAGTTTCCTGAGGAGCCCCTGCCCTGGCACTGGGCATCTTCCTCCCTGGAGCCGCCGTGATTTGCTGTGTTCTACGGCCAGAGCCGCCAGGAGCACACAGGGCCCACGCTTCCTGTCTCCGCCGGGACTCCTGGGAAGACGGGATGTCGGTCCCGCTCCCACGAGGGAGCGCAGGTGGCTTCGGCTCAGCTGAGACTCGCCTCTCCTATGGGTGGCCCTCGTCATAACCCGGGACCTTGCCCGGCCTTCTCGGGGCACCCCAGACGTGGGGCGGGGAGTCATGCGGACTCCAGAGCACGTTTCCTCGTGTCCCTCTGCCTTGGCTGTCTCCTCAGACCTGGCATTGGGGCCGACGCAGCCGCTTCCGGGACGCAGCCGCTTCCGGGACGCAGCCGCTTCCGGGATTCTGGGATGCAGCCGCGGGTGCAGCACTGTGGGTGGAACAGAGGCTGCGGGAGGACAAGGAACCCTTAGCAATCTTGCCATCCAAGCCCTGCGTGAGGACTGTCACCCCCGGTCTCATGGAGTCGTGGCTCCTCCTTCCACGGGGCTGTCAATCAGATCATTCAGGCTGACGACGGGCCAGGGGCTCCGCCATCTGCTATTGTCGAAGTCTACTTTCTCCCCTTCCCATCATCCCCGTCTCCGGGAGAGCTTCCTCTTCCTGTAGCCAGAAAGCAATGTTCAAAGCCAGTGACTCTCCATAGGAAGAAACCAAGTCCTAGCCCCACCCCAGCAATGTCATCCTGTTACCTTAAAGACCCTTGTTAAATGGCTTTTGATTATTATTTTACAAAGTGCTTTCACAGGCCAGGCAGGCACGGTGGGTCATGTCGGTAACCCCAACACTTTGGGAGACCAGGGCGAGAAGATCATTTGGGGCCAGGAGTTTGAGACCAGTCTGGGAAATATATTCCATCTCTACAAAAAAATTAAAAAATTAGCTGGGTGTGGTGGTACATGCCTATAGTCCTAGCTACTCGGGAGGCTGAGGCAGAAGAATTGCTTGAGCCCAGGAGTTCAAGGTTGCAATGAGCTATGATCATACCATTGCACGCCAGCCTGGGTTCAGAGTAAGACACTGTCTCAAAAATAAAATTAAAAATTAACAATCTTTTTAAAAAACCCAACTGCTTTCACATGCATACCCTGTTGAGGCTTCACAACACTGTGGCAAGTCAGGACACTCAGTCTGAGAATAGAGCCCACAATTGCACAATTTGTAAGGGGCAGGGCCAAGTTTGGAAAACCTGCCATCTTAGTTCTTGCTTTTTTCAAAATCATTGCTCTTTCCATACTATCATCTAGTGGGCCGAAAGATTATGACCAAGCCCATGCTTCCCCAACTTTCTGTGTAGCTTTCTTAACTTCTCAGGGTGTAAACAGAGTCTCCTCCCATCCTGATCCATCTATGGAAATTTGATCTACTTGGGCTGGAAATTTAATCCAATTTCTTCTAGACTCATGGACAGGGCCTTCAGCATGCGTCTCCATGCGGACCAAGCCTGAGGGTTCCATGGGGGACAAGGAGAGGGTTTTGGTGGAATGATACTCCGGACTCTCAGAGCAAAATGCCTTCCTCTGCAGATAAGTTGTGATTATTATGAATGATAAAGAGGTTCGGTGCTTTATTATTCTTACTTTTAAAAATTTTGAAGCAAATGTTTCTTTCTGCACCATAACTGATCATTTTAATTTCCTTGCTTTCGCTATAATAAAAATTGACGTTAAAGGATGCCTGAGGCAGTGTAATGAGAAAATGAAATTAGTTTTTCAGTTGACTGATCAAAAGCATTTTATATGTGATAATAAACAGTTTATTTTACTCTTTTGCTTATGACATAATTAATGGCAAAAATATTTTCCTGAAATTCATATTGTCTGCCAAATGAGAGCTTTCCAAGTTCCAGGAAAATATTATTTTTGTAATTCCCCAGACTGGACAAAAAAAAAATAAGTAAATACACTTTACCATCCCCTGCTGAAGAGAGTTCATAATCTTTGTTTAACCCTTCATGGTTTGTGGCTAGTATTGGACCAAGCAGGTCAAGGAAATGTTGTCTATTACACATTTGCTTCCTTAGGAACGGCAGTATTTTTGTACTGAAACTGGAGCCAGCCTTCCCAGTAGTCTTTCTTTTTGGAACTCTCTCTGTAATAGCTCGACACGCTCAGGTTGGTTGTCAGGATTAAAGGACACAGGTTAAAAAACAATGTAGGCTGGTTGTAACCCAGCAACCTGAATTTGAACTTCTTGAATTTTTGACTTTGAAAAATGTGTTGCTTTTTCTCCAACAGCGAGATAAGAAGATGATGAATTTGAATGAATGTCGTATTGGAATTTGAAGACCTGGCTACCGATTCCAAATATCTTCTTTCCTATGTCTGAGTTTGGTATTTCAGTTTGATTTAGCTGTGTCTCAGTTTCCTCGTCTGTGCAACTTCCTACTTTACCTGAATAACAATGGCACCAATTACCAGGGGCTTGCTAGCTGCCAGGTGCAGCAGGTTGTACATGCAAAGACATTTCCCAAAGCACCACTTGTAAGACCTGAAAACTACGGTCAACCTGCATTGATTAGCTTTCTCTAGTAACAATTACTCCAAAATGTAGTGGCTTAAAACAGTAACCATTTTACTTAGCTCATGATTCTATGAGCTGGCTGGGTGATTCTTCTGGTCTGGGGTTGGCTTGGCTGATCTCTGGCTCTCTGATGTCCAAGGTCAACGTATATTTTGACTTGCAGCTGTATGGTCTAGGATGGTTTTCCTCACATGTCTTGTGTGTGGCAAACTGGATAGTCTAGAAGTCCTCAGCTGGGACATGTGTTCTCTGCTCAGTGTGGTCTCTTATCCTCCAGTAGGCTAGCCTGAGCTTATTCACATGGTGGCCCCAGTGTTCTAAGCTCAGTGCAGCAAGAGAAAGTGCCAATGTATGTTGTTTTTGGTCTCTGCTTGCATCAACATTTGCTATTATCCCACTGACCAAAATAAATTACATGGACTAGCCCAGAGTCCATGTAAGAGGTTACTATCCTAGGAAAGAGAATCTTGGCAGCCTCCTGGGCAAATAGTCTACCACACACCCTAAATAACCATCAATTCCAAGAATTGTTGATTCAATTAGTGTTCATTTTTGCTCTTTGCCCAGAGTCTTTGTATATGCTCTTTTCTCTTTGGAGTGTTCTTTTCTCTTCATCAGTTTAGCTCATTTTCTTCCATTAGAGGTAGGCTCAAGAAGCCTTCCTTGGTTCTTTGACTAGGTCCAATTCCATACCCAAAGCCCTCACAATACTGTGTGCTTTCCACTGTAATCCCTCCTGCATTTGCAATAGTAAATGAATTCTCACGATTATCTAATGCATGTTGGTTATCCCACTAGACTTCAACCTCAAGAGGGCAGGAACCATGTCTGTTTTTACTTATCACGGCATCCTCTACCTAGCAGGGTGTCTGGCATGTAACATACAAGTGCTTTTTGAGTAATTGTTTTTAGATACCTTTAATTTCTCTCAATGTTATGTAGTTTCCACCATAGACATCTCATGTACATTTCATTTATTCCTAATATTTTTAGTATCTTTCAAAAAATTCATTGTCTTTGTCTTTGTTGCTGGTATACAGTTAGGTTTTGTGTATTGACCTTGCATCCTGAGACTGTGCTCAATTCATTAATTAATTCTAATATATTGTAGGTACTTTTGGACTTTCTTTACATGAAATTATGTCATCCCTGAAAGATGACTGTTTCATTTCTTCCTTTTATTTTCTTGCCTTATCATAATTCTTAGGTCATTTGTTACAATGTTGAACAGAAGTGGTGATACTGGGCGTTTTTATTTTACTTCTGGTCTCAGAGGAAAGTGTTCAGCAATTCACCATTCAATGATTAAATCTGGGGTTTGCTAAATATTTCTTTTTAAATTTAACTTTTATGGAAACTTTTAAATATACATAAAAGTAAGGAGAGTAGTATCATAAGCTCCATGTGTTTGGCATTAGGCTGTGATGACTATCAATATTTTGTTATTATTTTGTATCTATACCCCCACATTTTTATGTCTCTGCTCATAGAATAATTAAGTATATTTTGAATGAATAAGTTAATTAATGCAAAGGAATTCTGGAATTATTGCTGTTGAATATGAAGTAGATCAATTTGTATGGGCATAGAAAGATGCCTACCATATGGTAAGTGAATACACACATGCATATACTATTTTTATCATGAAACTACATATGTATAGGAGTATCTCTCTATACATATGTATATGAATATACGTAAAAGAAAGGGGAATATTCGTCAAGCTGTTAACAGAGGTTACATGTGAAAAGTGAGAAAGGGAGGAGAACATAGATGTCATTTTTTCGTTATATGCTTATGTTATTAGAATTTCATTCAATGAGCAGGTATTGCTTTTGTAATTTAAAAAATCAATAAAGAAAAAATAGATTATTAAACAGCTAGTTTATTAGCATTAAGTAAAGAATGCAATGATCAGGAGCTAACAAGCTATGCAGAACTAATTTCATTTCGTTCTTTCTCATTTTAAAATATGATTATTAGACTGATAGTCAAAGAGAATGCAATAGATTAGTGTACCTTAATGTTCCTTAACCTCGTTCCTTGTGATACCCTTGTGGGCAAGGTGGGGATCTGTGGGTGGAGGAGCGTTCTGCCATCATCAGTATTTATTAAGAAGCTGCTGTGTGGCCGGCATTCCTCCAGGATCTGAGGTGTAGCACTAAACAAGCCAGACAAAGGCCCTGCCCCCAAAGATCTTCCATTCTATTTGAGGGGTAGCAGTCAACACACAGATGAACACGAAACCCCCTCTGAAGGGGATTTAATTAAATATGTGATGGAGACCAGTGACTGGGCTCAAGGAAGGTCTGTCTGAGGACAAGACTTTTTAGCTGAAATCTGAAAGCTAAGAAAAGGCAGCCGGGTAAAGAACAAGAGAAAATCTACCTTGAGGGCCAGCAAATAGGAATGAGCCTGGAGGATTTGAGGAGCAACTTGGCAATTAAGGAGGCTACAGGGCAGAGGCAAAGGAGAGAGAGAGGAGCTGAGGGCAGGGAAGGAGGCAGAGCACAGGGTGGTTTGGGCTTGGAAGGCAACCTACAGATTTGCACTTGAATCTCACTGCAGATGGGAAGCCACTGAAGGGTTTAAAGTGAGAAATGGACACAATCATATGGTTCTGTCTTTGTTTGTTTCTTTTGTTTTGTTTTCTTAACTCTGGACGCTGTATCGAGAATGGACTGCAGTGAGCCAGAGGGAGGTGATGGGTGCAGATGCTGATCCAGGTGGAGGAAGACACCGGCGTGGACCAGAGGGGCAGCAGAGGGTTTGAAGAGAAGTGGGTACATTTGAGCCCCAGGACTGATTAATGGATTGAATTGAATCAGGAAAAGAGAGGAGTCAAGGGTGACTTTTAGCTCTTTAGCTTGAGGCAAATGGTGGGAACACCTTTTAGTGAGGTAGAAAGGAATGGGAGGGAAAAGGAATGGGAGTTTAGGGATATGCTGAGTGTGTGACATCTCTTGAAAATCCACATGGAAATATCAAACAAACAGCTTGATAAACAAATCTGGTGTCTCCAGGAGAGCCCAAGACTTGAGATGTAGAATTGGGACCCTTTGGCATAAAGATGATACTTAAAGTTGAGGATTTCATTGTCCATTGAAAAATCTGTCTTTGAAGAGTATGGATTAACTCTTGGCAGGGTCAGCCCAGGATTCTGCCATTGGGCTGACCTGGTCCACGCACTGAATGCTTTGGCAGAGAGAGGAGAATTTGTTTTCATCATATTTACGACCAACACTCTGCTGAGAAGGCATAGTACGCTGAGAAAATGGAAATGTACAAGCAGCAATGAG